CTGAGAAGGTCATTGCTTAAAGTACTAGAATTATTTCTCAGTCGAGCATAAAGTATATTAACTCACCAATCAATTAATAAGTTGGAACTATTGCAGGGGTCCGAATGGATATTTTAAGAACCGAATAAGAAACACTCAAGGTCGAGTTGGTTCCAAAGTCGGATAGTAGAAGGGAAAAAAGATAAGTTCGTAAGTTGTAGTCGGAAATTCGACAAGAAATAGTTTTGTGCATCGCGGAGTTTTCTGACACTAAAGGAGGCAATAAAGAGGATAGACAATTAGGTGTGAGTTTGTTACTTATTTGGTAGAATAGCAGAAGTTTTCTTCTAGAACGTCGTTCTGATAGCAGTTCTAAACCACTTTCGATATAGAGAGATTCTCTGCTGCTATATGCTGGTAAACCTGTAATAATTCGAGCGGATTCTAACTGAAGTTTTTCCAATTTGTCTGCGTCACTAAGAGAACACCCATCCCAAACTTCACAACAATACTTTAATAATGGAAGTATGTATGCTTTATAGATTTTGACTAAAGTTCGTCTTTTCAACATATATTTAAGTTTACGGAGAATACTTACTTGTTTTGATGCATTATTACATGTTTTTTCTATGCGTCTACCCCATTAACAATTTTCATCTAAAAATACTCCTAGATGTTTATGATGATCGACAAAGTCTGCACACACATTATTGAATATCAATAATATGATCATGTTCAATGTTTGAAATGAGTAAAGCTTCAGTTTTCAAGGGATTAAATGTGATGAGTCAACTGTTATCAATTTTAGTTTCAATGGCCAAAAGGGAAGTTCCGGAACATAATAACGAATCATCATCAGCAAACAGTTTAGAGAGACTTTCAAGGTTATCAGATATATCATTAATATATATAATAAAAAGTAGTGGCCTTAATACCGAGCCTTGTGGAACACCTGCATTTATAGATTTAACGTTCGACTTACTATTTCCTACAAAGACTTGTTGTTTTCTATTACGTATATAATTATTTAACCAGACTAGAAGTTTTCCACCGATACCATAATTTGCTAATTTTACACTAAGTCCCTTGTGCCACACAAGATCGAAGGCTTTGGAAATACTACAAAAACCTGAACATGTTGACTGCATTTTTTCAATATTTTCGCATAATGTATGATATATCTCTATAATTGATGGACAGTAGAATGACCAGGCCGGAAACCTGATTAGTATTTATAGATTAATGAATTATCAAGTAAGTAGTTATTTAAATATTTCACAACTAAACGTTCAAAAATGTTTTACTAGAAAGCGTTATAGGTCTTTGGGTTACAAGATTCATGTTTATTCCTTTTTTTTTAAATAAAGGCATTACTAGAACTAATTTCCAATATAAACTATAAAAGTACTATTGATTATATTGTCTATAATATGAAATAAACAATAATTACTAGTACAATCATCATTTACAAAAAATCAATATAAATACCGATCACACAATTATACAGACCTTACGTAAGCAGAAAGATCTAAATAACATTACAAATTACCTGAAAAGATCTACATCATAATCGATATAGATACACTGGGTTTTCTCATTTATAAACACAACATTTGTAATCTTTCCAGTTTGTCAGACTAAATAAAACTACCTCCTAACAATGATTGTCCCGCCAAACTGACCACAAGGTATTGTATTAATTCTAACCAATATTAAAAGGGTATAAAATTTGACCATATATCACATGCACGTCATGTGACATTAACAAATGAGCTACAGGTAAAATATAGAACTAAACAGGTAGGTAATCTAAGGATCACTCCGTGTAAGCTGAAACACACATCTCTTACACAAACAAAAACCCAATTTGCTTGCAGACAAATCAACATGTATACATACCAATTGAATAAAACATAACATATTAATGGCTCTATTACACAAAAACTCTATATAGTCTTCCATCATAATTTAACTACAAACTCGTTTTTTTTAATATATACTGAAAGGATAAAGAAACGCAGGGTAATATTTATTCCGATATTTTGAAAACGCGTTCTCCAAATAAAGTGAAACTTTGTGGATTGAGTAATTAAGTCATATTACACATTGTCATCTATCGAAAATTTAGTCACGGTACAGTGCGCAGCTCTGGTAAATGGAGGAAGGAAAAAACAAGAATCTCGTGCACCGTGTTGTTCTGGTCTCATGCAGCGTTGGTCAAGTCATTCTTCGTTAGTCTTTATACAGACAAACTGCTTCCCTAAAATCAATTGAGAATTTGATTCGTTTTAAGAATGGCACGACTCACAGAAGTTCAGAGGGGTCAGGCCATTCAGATGCTGATGCAAGGACAGCTGCAAAATCAGGTTGCTAGGCACTTTGGTGTTAATGTTTCCACCATAGAACGTCTTGTAAGACGTCTTCGGGAAACTGGGCGATTGGCCGATCCACCTAGGTCAGGACGTCCGCGCGTAACGTCACGACGTCAGGATCGCTATATCGTCGTCTCTCATGTGCGTTATCGGCGCCTTACTGCCGTTGAGAGTGGAAATCATGGGCGTTCTATAAGTTCAAAAAACAGTAAGGAATCGATTACGAGAAGTTGGTGTAAGAGCACGTCGCCCCTACGTAAGTCCAAACCTTACCCCTGCTCGACGTCAACGTCATATAACCTGGGTCGCTGCACATGCTCCACGACGGTTTCCACTGAGGCAGTGGAGACAAGTTTTCTTCACGGACGAGTCTCTATTCTGTCTTTATCGATCTGACGGCCGTCAACGTGTCTTCCAACGTCGTAGCGAACGTTTTACGGACGCTTGCATTGTAGAGAGGGATAGGTTTTAGGGGCGGTTCAGTAATGGTGTGGGGAGTAATCTCACACGGGTTCAAATCACAATTGGTTGTTATTGATGGTAATTTAACAGCAGCTAAGTATAGAGATGAGATCCTCCGACCCCATGTTATCCCTTTCTTACAGCAGCATGATCTAAACCTCCAGCAGGATAATGCTAGGCCCCACGTAGCAAGGATTTGCCAAGTCTTTCTGGCCAACAACAACATTCAACCACTAGATTGGCCGCCATATAGCCCTGATTTGTCCCCGATTGAACATCTTTGGGACCAGTTGGATAGACAGGTTCGAAAGCGCCAGCCACCCCCTGCTACTCGAGAGCAGTTGACCAGAGCTCTGATTGAAGAGTGGGACAACATCCCCATCAGACGGATTAACGCTCTCATGAACTCTATGACCAGAAGAATAAGGGCCGTGACCACAGCAAACGGCGGACACACAAGATATTGATGACTCAGTTCAATTTCAATTTCAAAATCCTATGGGTCCATTCAATTTAATCGTTAGTACCTCTAAACCAATTGTCAGATGCAAAATACAGACTGGAAATTTTTAAGCTTTAATTTATCTGTAAGTATACAGAATTTCGTTTTAAATGAAGCCCGATATCATACTTAATTTCTGGTTTAAAGTTCACCCTGCGTTTCTTTATCCTTTCAGTATATATATAAAGCTAAAAAAAGTGCTCTCTGCAACCTTTGTAATTCTGAAAAGTGAAATTATTGTAGTTTATTTTGTAAATGTGATAAATTCCAAAACATTATTTGAAGTCTAGATATGATGTCGAAGGCTTTATTTATACACTTTTCATTAAACAAACATCCCTTCTATGCGGGATAAAAAATAACAACATTCCAATATCTAAAGTTTCTTTTATTAATTCAACAGGATTCAAGTTACCTCCGCTCTTCATCCTTTTCCATTTTTTATACTCGCCCCGTATCTCTCTCTTTCTTTGCTAGGCTTTTGTTTTTCTTTGTTGTGTGGTCGAATGTGAATCACTTACATATAAAAAAAAACTTCATTTATTTCAACTTATACATTGGCAGAATCGATTTTTAATATAATGTGAATTGTACTGTCTCCTTAATTGTTAAATCTTGTTAGTTAGTTTACGTCTATACTGGATCTTGTCCATTAGTCACGTGCATACTTAAGTAGTTTGTCTCGTTAGTGTCGTGTGGTCGTTGGTCAGCTTAATTTTGGCTTACGTCACTGCCTTATTTTATTGGTTCTTTTGATTTCACGGCTTTTGTCATTGTTTGACTGACCGACAGGTAGACTGGGTGTTTTGGTAACACGAATCGTGAAATACCTGCGAACCAGGAAGACTATAACTTGACGATAGTCAGTATCATAATGTAGACGCATCTGTTTGTAAGCGAACTTTGCGCCACACACAGGGAATTTAGCCAATTTATTTATACATGATGTGTTTATCATAACTGCAGATACTGTCCATATTCTTTCGATTCGGCAGTAAACTATGGTCATATCTTATCACAGGTTTCGTGTAGTTATCTGAGCATTGTATAGCCAACCTGTAACACTAATCACCCTTGCTGTAAGCCCACAAAGGGTCGTCTTACTGTGCGAGGAAACCGCAGAAAACTCATATCCGTTCAGGGAATCGAACCCCAGGACGGCTAACCATTGCGCCACCCGACTACTGCATGAAAAAGAAAACGACGTTACCGTAATCAGAGACGTATATGTCTCTGCCGTAACACATTGGTATTTAATGGATGTGTTGTGTTAAAATCTTGCAAAATTGAAGGAAATCAAAAGTAATAATAACACGATTCAGTGAAGCCATTAATCATGCATGTTCAAAATGTGCATCTTGTAGATTAACTTGCGCTCAGACAGCACCTATTTCATATTATCAACACTGGTAGAAATAACCCAGTCCCTGTCGAAAGGCCTCTTAGATGTGTTCCCGCCCATTTATAAGTAGGCTCGCTTAAATCCAAAACAATAAATATTCTTTTATCAAAGAACCATCTTATAATTTGCTATACGTTATATGTATCATAAAGAAAATAAGTCGGTTAGGAAAAATAATACAAAGTTGTCGACTTTGACGGGCGTATTTTTTTGTTTATTTTTAATTTTTAAATACATAAGCGACCTAATCTATTTGCCGCCATTTGCAATTTGTAAACAAAAAATTCGTCAGTTTCTTTTCTGTTTTCTTGAAGATTGCTTCGATATGATTCTTTATTGACTTATCACGAATAATGTATATCAAGCAGGTAAGATCAATGGTTGTGATGCATTTATGCAATTATATAATATTCAAAGACTTCATATGAATAACATCAATTCATTGTATGCATCAAACATCTGAAACAGCGATAGGGACGCTGATGACGCTTATCTGGTATAAACAAAGATAATTTGTTCACCACGCATATGTGAAATCGACATTTTCATTTAATTGAAAATAAGAAGTCCTGTTGAACTCGTGAATAACTCGCACGAGACGGACAGTAAATTGTATTCTATAGTTTAGCTATCGCGTCATTTCTGTTGTTCGTTGTAGCAGTCATTAATCCAATGGTTATAGAGTGTAATTAATGCAGTTATTGTTAACAGTCTATCGAAAAAATAAGCAAGATCGTTGGCATTGTAGACCTCATGTAGTATAGAAAATTATTAACAAAATGCCTTTATTTTATCAAGGTTATTATCCAAGGTTTCAGAAGTTACAGGGACCAGACTGTGGTGGAGCCTTTCAGTCCTAAGCATAATGTCATCGGTAAATATAAAAAAGATATTCAAATGCACTACACGAACTGGAAGACGTGCTAGTCACCACAAGGATGCTTAAGTACTGGAAGTCAGATGCAACAAGTTGCATTTCCCTGGTGTGGAACTTGTCACAAGTTACAATTCATGTGAAAAGATAGAGTAATAAAATATCATACCCATGCTGTGTATCAACCCCTCATATAATCGTTAAACCTTTAAGTCTTATCAATACTTAACAAAAACGTGGAACAAATCCCCATAGATTTGCCACTGGAAATTTTTATAACATTGTTTTTTTTTCAAATGTATTTCCATAATGCAAGAAACAAAGGAGTTCAGCTAAGATGAATCCATAATAAAAAAATAACTGGCTCATCTTCATGATTGGAGGGGAGAGCATGAGCTATTTCTACATTTTCCAGCAGTAGGTCATTTAAACTAGATTATCACCTGATCACATCCTACTCATTCAAGGACAGGTACAGTGCAGCCTGCTTAGGATATTCTATATCCCAGGAAAAGATATTATAGTATCTTCTATATCCTAATAACTGAGAAAGCAATTTTGAGATGAAACGTTCTGTCTAGAGTGAAAGTGGGATATGCTACAATCGTTAGACAAACAACAAAATGTTGATGTGATTGCTGAATAGGTGAACTATAGATAGATTTATCCTTTTATTTGATTGTTTACATGGAAATTGTTACATGTAATGTTCAGTCAGGATGTCTTGTGAAACGTTAAAACCAGTTGTCATAATGGGAGTTAATATGCTGTCATTTCTACTGTGGATTTGGTTTTTTTCTTGTGGGTAGTGATTGCTAATGTAAATGTTCAACGAGAATGAATGAAGTACCAATGATCAATGAAGATCATTTGGCAAAGAAATGTATGTGCTTTTCACACTATTCTGTTGAAAAAGGGGATGTGTGTGTCAGTTGGTCCCATTTTTTGTATCCGCAGACAGGTCAGCTGATGACCTGAAACCTTGTGTTTTCATGGGATGACCTCTATTCATTCACTCATTCTTGTTCAAACAGTTGGAAAATATTACAATTCATGTTGTGATGTAGTAAGACAGAACAACCATAACATAAAATAGATAAAAGTTACCACTTTTTTTTTTATCAAACAATGACTTCTATGAGACTGTCTGGAGGTGTTACTGGGAAGATTTGCCCCATGTTTTTAACAAGTATCGACATGCCTTAAGGTTTGACAATTACAAAAATGCTGAATATCTAATTACAAATATTTAAGATCAGGATATAAACCTTTGAAGGGCTATCTCTACAAGCAGATACTGGTGAGGTGACACTTATTTTCTGTTTTAACACTACTGCATCATTTAGGAAATCCTAGCCCAAAAAGCCAGTCCAGGTTATTAAGCTCCAACAAAGCCTTTTGTTCTACATAGCTTACACTTGAAGCAGTTGACCTCAGAATCTATTGTGGTATAAGAAAGGATAGTGAGAAATATCCTGTCAACATCTGGGCTCAAAATGATAACCTCTTTCACCTGCAAAACACTACAATGAGGATTAATGACATTTACCTACCCCAACAATTCTTTGTACTGATATGAAAAACCTCAGAGTTGTCCAGCACCCAAATCCTTTGATTGGCAATATCTTTATTACTTGACATTTTTTCTACTTTGATAGTTATTCATTGAAAGTGTGGTAATCTTTGATCCTCGTTTTCAATTACACCATTTTTTAGCAGAAGTGTAGGAACTTTCATGCAGTATTTTTTCATGTGTGTTTTTTTTTTTTTTTTTACAGTTGGCAGAAATGGGTCTGGGAAAAGTAACTTCTTTTATGGTAAGATTTTAATCACTTTAAATAAACCATTTGCCTTTGATTTATTAAAGCAGCAATGTTATTGTATGAAAAAAGGAATACCAATTCTTTTAAGATAATTATGGTCTTGTCAAAAAGTAAAACTACATATTGTCTATACTTGCAGCCATCCAGTTTGTATTGTCAGATGAGTTCAGTCACCTGAGGCCTGAACAGAGGCAGGCCTTGCTTCACGAGGGCACTGGTCCTCGTGTTATTTCTGCCTTTGTGGAAATCATCTTTGACAACAGTGACAACCGAATACCTGTAAGTTTAGATGTCTTTTCAGAAACTTCGACTTATTTTTAAAAATGGTTTAGCTATGTGAGATCAAAAAGGTACAAAGCTATTTCAGTTTCATGCAAAAGATGTGCTATTATGATTTTAGTTGCTTTTAATATTTAGTAAACCTTCATATTCTCTGTCTATCTTAAACTAAACCAAGCGATGAGGAGGGGGATCATTGGTTTCTCAAGAAAATGAAGGGGGAAAAAATCATAACTCAATTTTTAATCAAATATCATGAATATTTATTAATTTATATTGTGCATTATGGAAGAGTACGGAGGAAACAAATTATTATACGATGCAATATGGATCAATAAAGAGGAGTTCTATAGGGCTTCTGATGTAAACAATTTTTTTTACAGATTGAAAAAGATGAAGTTGTCTTACGGCGTGTCATTGGGTCAAAGAAAGATCAGTATTTCCTTGATAAGAAAATGGTCACGTATGTATCACATTTCAATTTGACATTTGAAGTTACTAGTTAAGTTGAAACATTTAAATTCTAGATTGAAAGAATAAAATCATTTCATTTTCACATTAGTTTACTATGTGAAATGATTATTTCATCTTGTCAATGGAAATACCATTATTTCAGTTGCTTGGCAACATTTACCTTACTGTCATGTCTATGAGGTTGTCAATGAATTCCATTAAAATATATAATCTCTGCCATCAATTTGATTTCAGGAAAGGTGATGTCATGAATCTCTTAGAAAGTGCTGGGTTTTCCCGTAGTAATCCATACTACATTGTGAAACAAGGAAAGGTAATACCTAATCAATAAGTATATTTTTTATTTTTTTATTAAGGTTTGAGAAAGCTAATCCTCCTTTTGTAGTATGATCCATATGCATAAATATTACAAAATTTAGTAATATACTTCTGTAGAGACCTGTTTTAGAAAGCTAATTATCGATTTTCTGTGTTGGCCATGGGAGCGCAGGGGATAGACACTAAGATCTATATAGGATATATTGTTTCAGAGAGGAGACCATTTTCGCTTCTTTAAATTTTTGAATAATTTAATATACAGTCGAAACTCGTTATCTCAAAATTTAAGGGACTGTGGAAAATATTTTGACTTATCCATATTTCAACTTAAATGAAGTGTATAAATAAGGTTGACAATATCAGTTTCCTGACGTTGATGTTTCAAAATTTTCTATTGTATGCCCAGTGTGTTTTACGGTTTGTTATGTCTGGCAAGAAGTCTTTCTGCTTGGTCTTGTTCACTATTCACACTCTGCTGCTATTAAAACCTCTTGGTCCAGTCCCATTTTGTTGTCTTATAGTTATGTTTTACATAGTTAAGTTTTTTTGTATGCTCTTTGGCAGAAATATTTTGAAATTTCTGTAAGCCTTTTTGATTTATTAAACTATGAATTTAGTCATTAAGTTTTATTGAATTTAGATCAATCAAATGGCAACGGCTCCAGATTCCCAAAGATTGAAACTTTTACGTGAAGTGGCAGGTACTAAGGTTTATGATGAAAGGAAGGAGGAGAGTAAAGTCATACTACGAGAATCAGGTGAGCATTCATTTTTTTAGCCCACCATCTATTCAAATAGATGGTGGGTTATTCAAATCGCCCTGCGTCCGTGGTCCGTCCGTCCGTAAACAATTCTTGTTACTGCTATTTCTGGAAAAGTACTGGATTGATCTTTCTCAAATTTCATATGCAGGTTCCCCTTGGTCCCTAGTTGTGCATTGTACCTTTTTTGAACTGATTTGCATTCAAGATGGCCGACAGGTGGCCATCTTTGATTTTGGAAGTAAAAGTTTGTTACCGCTATTTCTGGAAAAGTACTCGATGGATCTTTCTCAAATTTCATATGCAGGTTCCCTTTGGTTCCAAGTTGTGCAGTATATCTTTTTGGACTGATCCGAAATCAAGATGGCTGACAGGCAGCCATCTTGGATTTTGAGAGTAAAATCTTGTTACTGCTATATCTGAGGAAGTACTGGATGGATCCTTCTGATATTTCATAGATATTGGTTTCCCTTGGTCCCTATTTGTGCATTGTACCTTTTTTGGACTGATTTGAAATCAAGGTGGCCCACAGGCAGCCATCTTGGATGTCGACAGTAATACAGCACAAGCATATTGTCCATTATCCACCTGTAACTGACTGCTATCTAATAATACTTTGGGATCTTTTTCAAATGATATTTGCTAATAGGTGCTTAATAAAAATATCTTGTGCCATCATTGAGTACATTCAATGAAGACCAGTTCATGAACATTTACAACACCTGTTACACGCAAAAAAAAATAAACAAATCTTCAAGAACTGAAAACAGATCCTCAAATGGTGGGCGCCAAGATCCCTCTGGGATCTCTTGTATGATAAATCATCTTCTAGAATTTGGCATTGATAACTTTTATTTGTCTAGAAATCTCCCACAATTTTCATCTTATCTTTTTTCAAACTTGATGGGCGTAATCATCATGACATGAAGTGGTTTTTTACTTGAATGGCAGTTTGATTCACCTGTATTTGGAAGAGTTACTGCCCTTCGTGGTTTCATAATGTTCATTTTTTCTGAAGACATTTCACTCAGTTTCAAATAAAATTCTTTCAAACTTGGTTTTAGTCACCATAACATGAAGTGGTGTTTTTCTTCACAGCAGTTTGATTCATCAATTTTTGACTGAGTTTTATTGCTTTTTTTATTTTTAAGCATTTCAGATTTGTATGAAGATGTTCTCCCACACTTTTCACCAATTTCTCTTAAAATTGGGAGGCTTTATAACCATTATTGGAAATGTTTTTGCGGCATTGGAATTTTACAATTTTGGAAAGAGTTAATGCCCTTCTTTTCTTTTCAACTATTAATTTAGTAGGCTTGAAAACTGCAACATGAGATTGGGCTTTCGTAACATTTTGATTTAACAGTATTTCAAAACGTTATTGCTCTTTATTCTTTTCAGTATTCTAATCTTGTCCAGAGATTTTTTTGTCTTTAAAACTTTGTATGCTTTAATTCATCATTAAAATATCTAGCACTGAATCTTGAATATTTCCTTTCATATGGGACACACAGTATATTATTCTGCCAATGGTACTCTTTTACACTTTAGTTAATGCTTAGATTAAAGATCAGTAGAGAATTTGGTGAACCCTCATTAAGTATGTGACTTGCTGGCTTAATACAATGTTCCTGTATGATAGCAGCCTACTTCATCAAGATGGATTTGCTTTAACACCAATTATTCATTTTATAGAGGGAAAAAGAGAGAAGATTAATGATTTGTTGAAGTATATTGAGGAAAGACTGGCAACGCTTGAGGAAGAGAAGGAAGAATTGAAAGAATACCAAAAATGGGACAAAATGAGAAGGTTAAGTCATGATGACCATCAGATTTTTAATCTGGTCATATTTGAATTATATGATTTTGTGAAAATGATTCCTTTTTTTAGAGTACTGAATAGGACCTTATAACTTTACTAAACTTATTGCAAGATTTATGGAACAAACAAAATTTAACTGGATATTTCAGGCAGGTTTGAGAGATGATTATGAAGTTTTGATAGATAAATAAAAAGGCTGCAATTCTTGATGCTTTGATACTTTTAAGTGATGTTATATTTACAAAACAAAATGTTTTTGGTATATTAAGACTTTTCTGTCCCTTGCAATCACAGATTTTAAAAATGAAAACAAAAGAATGTAGAACTAATATCACTTTCAATATCATCATTTTTCTTTTGAAAGATGCAGTGGTTGTTATTGGTTCAGCAGTGTAACTGCCCATCCAGTGTTAATGATTTGGATCTGAGATATTCTAGTGTATTTAGGACTCATCAGGTGGAAATACACCATATCAGCAAATGAAAAACTAAAAATGTATTGCAAACTATCTATGTAATGGTACACATTAAGTAATCCAAGTATAACTGAAAATCTTCTGCAGATTTTCTCTCTGAATACTCAGAATTGTTGACTACCCAGATTTGCTCATTTGGCTTTAAATGTTGGTCTATTGAAATTGCCATTTGTTACAAAACTAGTGACACTAGATAAGAGCCAGGCTAACTTTATAACAATACAATGTTTGACTGGTCTGGTTTTACAGGTCTCTGGAATACACTATACATGACCATGAGTTGAGAGACACGAGGAAGAAACTGGATGATGTAAGAATCCGTCATTACAAAACACAACTATGTAAAAAAAAAAGAGAGAGATAGAGAGAAAGGAAACATTATCGAAATATTGACGATAGTAATAAAGTAATTTCAATGGTACTTGTGACCTGCATGTGAGGTTCTACATTATGATGTTTCTTTATAAAATAGAACCAGAGCTTAAGATAAAATACAACAATAAAATAGATACAACTTTTTGCTTTAGCTTCAAGAAAAGAGAGAAACAAGTGGTGTACAGACACAGAAATTGCGTGATTCACAGCAAAATGCCAATGATAAAGTCAAGGTAAGAAGAAACCAAACAGATTCCAAGAAATTCCATAGTAACGTAAAGCTATTTCAAATATCACATCAACATGCCAAACATTGAGCAAGCTGCTTGTAATATTTAATAGGTCTATCTTAAAGTTTGGAAGTCTACAAATGTGTAAAGATAAACAAGACAAAAACATTATCAAAGATATTGTATGTGATGAAACATGGCTTTCTATTTTCTGTCTGTTGGCATGCTGCTATGTAAATTTGAATTTAAATAGATGTTATTTTTGTTCTGATCATAAATTTATTGTGCAGGCAATCAATAAAGATCTTAGAGAATTAAAGACCAGGATGCAGACAATTTTAGATGAGAAAGAACAGATTGCATCTGAAAATCAGGATCTAACAAAAAGGAAAGCGAAACTGGAACTTAACATCAAAGATATTCTTGATGATTTAGAAGGTGACAAAAAGGCGAGGGTAAGTTAAGAAACGTTAATATTTTTTATGTATTTTTTTCCTCAAGGGTAGGGCTTGTGACTCAAGTACAGGTGCAGCATATTTTTGGATGGAAAAAATGGGGAAATGAAAAAAAAGCTGCTTCACAGTGACGTTATGTTTTTATCAATGTTACTAGTTAAAAGTGAAACCAACTTTGGAATACAATATCTTTAAAAAAAAAAATTGGAAAACTGAATTTTCATAGGGCTCTTCCAGAATGAAGTGTTAGGGGGTCAGGAGACACTGATTTTTTACTCCAACCACCAATACAAGAAAATTTATTCAATACCCAAGCATGTATACAATGGAGTTTTTACCAAATCCAAATAACCCACACAATTAATTTTTTTACTACAGGCAACCCCCACAGAATGTTCCATGTTAACACATAACCTACAAAATTTCACTCTGTTGCCCTTTTTTCACATCCAAATACATGTTGCTTCCCTGAGCAAAGATATTGTCAGTTTTCCCCAAAAATTAATTTAAAAATGTATGTATATTTTCCAAAACTGTATGAAAAATCTAGCTGAATATTTCTTATTATATATATAAACACATTATTAGCTACCATACATATACTTTAAGTTTGCATGGAATGCAGTGGATAGAAGTATGTTTTATATGCAATTTTTACTTCATTTATTTAACATGTTATTATTTTCTCATGTCTAATACAGGCAAAAATAAAAATTGCTTGTAGCTAGTTAGCTACAATATATTGATGTGATTTTGTATGATGGACATGCCAAGTATCAGCTTGACGAAAACACAACAAAAATGCTTACTAAAGAATGGCCCCGTTAAGGATTTTAGGCCATGTTGGCCAAGCAATATGGCCATCTCGTATATACTTTACTTATCCTTCACCATGGGAGTTTCAAACCAAAACAAGTTATCCTCCAAAAGAATAAATTTGATGATCTAATTTCAATCTCTTTAAAACTCAAAAACAACTGAATTGTTTGACCCACAAAATCTGTTTTTCTATAGTAAGTTTACTCCCACATTTATATAATTCAATTTGTAATGGCACCAATCACACACAAAATACACTTTATTGTCCTAACCACCCAAAAAAGCCCAATTCAACTGCTTCCCAACACTGCCCATACATTTAATTCAGAAATTGTCCTAACTCTGAATTTTTTTTTATTATTTTTCAGAAAAAAACAGAAGAAGAGCAAAAGAAAGTGAATGAAAGAATAGCCAAAACACAGGCTTCCTTAGAGGCCATTACACCACAGTATGAGGCCCAACAAAGTCGGGAAGAGAACTGCACACAACAGTAAGTTAAAAACAGGTTGAATCATCTTTGCAGGATTTCCAAACATGAGGAAGTCTTGATGGATATTTGATGTGAGTGCAGACATTGTGAATACTCTGAAAACATTCATTTTCGTGTGGTTTTGTTTTTGTTCATTTTATGGGAATTCTTAATTAACTGATTCATATGTCTACAAACTGTAAGAATTAATATAAACAGATTTATAGAGCAACATTTATCCACGAAATCATGTGTCCATGAAATAGTAACTTAGAAAAAGATAAACAAAGAAAATTGAGTCACACAAATATATCTAGTTTTATAGTATGGACTTCCACTTTCATTAATAGATCTTACTTACATACAGCCCCCTCCACTTTCCAATTTCATATTCTCAATAATGATGCATAACAGCTGTTATACCTGATAGTGCTATAAATAGAATGTATTAAAGCTGCCTAGTCCAAACCAAAAGGTAGGGGATCAAATCTCAGTGATGGGGATGTTTTTGTATACAAGGATTATATTTCTTTTTTTATATTTTGTGATAAATAGACAAGAAATTGGATATGTTGTTTATTGGAGGAACAATGCAGAATGCTGAGACTCTCTGCCTTTATTATGTATGTATGACATAAAGACTGCTTCATTTCTTCTAAGATTATCATTGGCTGAACAAAGACGGAAAGAACTTTATGCTAAACAGGGTCGAGGAAACCAGTTTACGTCTAGGGATGAAAGAGACAATTGGATAAAAAAGGAGCTCAAGTCACTCAATCGAGCAATCAAAGATAAAGAAGAACAAGTGAGTCAAATCATTTTATATCAGAACTTAATCAATACAGAAAAAGAGACACTTTTTTTATTAAAAGTAGGCAGAGGAGCAAACTTGTTCAATAAATATAGGGGCAAACTTATGTTAGACAGATATAGGCTAGGGGGAGATAAATTATTCTAGACATATAGAGGGGTATGCATATTCTTATACAGATATAATACCTATTCTAGACAGATTAAAAGGCATAGATAGAATGAAAGGTAAATTATTGTAGGCAAATAAAGGGACAAACATATTCTGGGTGGATCAAAAGGCATAATAGCTCTAGATAAATATAGGTGTACACTTATTCAAGTAAACAAAAAAGCACAATCATCGCAGACAGATGGAGAAATAAAAAATATCAGATTGTTGATGTGTCGATGAATACTGCTATCTTGACCTTAAAGCACTAATAATCTAAATCATTGAAATATTTTTAACATGGTCAGGTGATCATTGAAGATTTTTGACTTCTTGTGTTTGGAACCAGTCAAATGACTATCCTTGAGCTTCAACTGTCCTTAGATAGATACACATGTATATAAAGATAAAGAAACCATTGACTTGTTGGAATGTTTACTATCGATTAAAGCTAGGCAATTTCTCTGAAAGACTAATAGTTGTTTCTTTGAAATTTCAGATCCGCAGATTACGGGAAGATTTAACTAATGACACGAAAAGAGCTGAACATTTAAAAATTAATATACAGGTATGTCATTTACAAGTCAATAAACAGGTTTGTCATTCAGTGTACATACATGTCATTCATAAGTCAGTGTACAGGCTTGTCATTCACTACAGGTATGTCGTTCACAAGGCAGTATACAGGTGTCATTCACCAGTCAATATACAAGGGAGTCATTTAATTGGCAATATACAGGTATATTCTTCACCAGGCAATATATTGGTTTGTCATTCATCAGTCAATAACCAGGTGTGTCCTTCACAAGTCAGTATGAAGACAGGTGGGTCTCAAGAATTTATAAGACTAGAGGAGCTTTTGACATTGCCTAGTGTCCATTTGAATGTCTGTGTGATAGCTGATACTTGTAATTATTTTCCTTATCACGATGGTGTTTCAGAGACCTTCACAAACCGGTGGTACATGGGCATTTATTAGGATCCCTGTGACATACAAAGCGGCAATTGTGACCCTTGTAGCATTAAAATGCACAGTATTTCTTCTTTTTGGGTGATGTCAAGTTTCACATTCATCAAAACTCAACGATGAATGGACCAGTATTTCTGAAAGCAAACCTAGTATCTCAGGGCTCTCGATCTGCCAGATTTGGGGCCGATATTTGGCCCCATTCCCAATGTAAAATAGTATCTTTTTTCCCAATTTATACCCCAAGTTTTCCCAATTCTAAGAAAAAAAAACGTTATTTTTCACAATTCTAAGGGCCCCGGGCCCCAGTCCCAAAATGGGGTGTGAGAGCCCTGTATGTTTTCTGTTGTGATTTGAAGTTAAGGTCAGGTCCTGCAAGGTCTGGATGGATTCTAAACTACAGTAGCAGAATAACTGTATTTTAACAAACAGCTTCAGATTGGAAGCATTCATTTGTAAAATATGTGGTTGTATGAGAAAAAGAAAGACAAAGCAAAATTAAGTTTATAATTACTAATTATTTTAGGACATTGGTAGCAAGACTGACCAGAACAAAGATATTATAGACCAGAATCAGAGGAGTTCATCAGACATGAAGAAAGAAAAGGAAACCATCCATAATGAGAGAAAGTAAGTATGGCTAATGGAATTCCATGTATACAGTGAGTGATGGAATCACAGGTATGCAGTGAGCAATGGAAGTTTAATTACACACGTTCTAAACAATGCTCTGAATTTACTGACTAGAAAATTACATTAATTATGATATTTATGATTGTAAATGGGAAACAAACCACATTAGCTGGGATATTTAGACATTGTTACATATGTTGATTTATTTGTTAGTTAGTTTTCATGACATCAAGCTAACTGCCATCTAAACATACCTTTGTTTTCAGGTTATTTTTTGCCTTGTCTACTGGAAGAACTTGGAGGTTCAGTAGTGAATGTTATTACTATTATGTATTGGATTCCACGTGATATTTTTAGTTTCCTTAGTGTCAATGACTATGGTCACTAACTAAATTGGAGATTGATTTTAGCACAGTAAAATTTATCATTGATTGTTTTCAAAAGTTAATTTTTGGATCTTTTAAGTTAGTATTTCGATAGAAAGATCAAATACATACATTATTTCAACTTTCAGCGCTATGTGGAGACAGGAAAACATAATGCAACAGGAGCTAGTTGGCATTCGTGAGGAGCTTAGTAAAAAGGAACAGGCTCTACGTTCAATGACGGGAAAGGTAGGGAGACACAGATACTGGTACAGTGATCATTGATCTTAGATTAGTTGGTATTTGTTTCAATCACTTGTTTTCAAGTAATTATGAATATGAAAGAGATATATTTTAATTTGATACTATTTAAGGTGAAAATAATTTGATGGTTTTTATTTCAAAGAAGAATACAGTATAATTCTTTACACTTTTTCACCAGGCAATTTTAAATGGAATAGACAGTGTACAAAAAGTGATACAGTCTTTCCGAGATCAGCGAAAATTTTCTGAGGTGTGTGATGGCTACCTCGGTATAATGATAGAAAACCTAGACTGTGACAAAGCCTTCTTCACATGTGTAGAGGTCACAGCTGGCAGCAGGTAAGGTCATGTTAGATATTCTGTTGATTCTGAAAAGTAATTTATCTCAGAACAATTCATATTGATGAAATATTCCAAAGCAATACATATGCAGTTCTGGCTTCAAGTAAATTCACTTCACTTACGAAGACTTTTTTTAAGATATATTTATGTTAGAATTCTTGAATTTAAAAGTAATTTCCAGCAGATGTTAAAGAACTTGTGCTTCCATGGAAAGTAGATGCATGCCATGAAGAGAAAAAATACCACTGGTCTTGAGATATTGTTTTTCTGTAGTTTTAAGGTGATGACTTTTCTGTGATACTAATTATCTGTGATACAATTTTACACCTGATGATAGCAACAATGGAAACTTATATTCATTATTTGCTCTCTACTTAAGTATATTCTTGTCATATTTTACATTTGTTAGTCAGCTAGGCAGAACAAAAATGAACTTGATTCACATAAATCTGTTTTACATAAAAGGTTTTACCGTTTATATGGCTGTTTTCTTCTTACAGATTATTTCATCACATAGTTGACACAGATAGAACTGGCACAAAGATCTTGGCAGAGATGAACCGACTTCGGTTACCAGGGGAGGTAACCTTCATGCCTCTGAACAGACTGGATGCTCGTGACACCCCATATCCTAATATTAGTGTGAGTACTGGTTCATAGGTTGAATGAACTCATAATTTGTGAATTCCCCAGCAATTTCATCTTTTTCCCTGAAAAAATTTTCTGTATATAATGTGCAAAGAATTTTTTTATATTTACAAAGAAGGTTGTTGGCTTTTCATCAAACAATCTTCGCTTTTTTACCATCTTTTCTATTTTCTGTAGCTGCTATAATTATGTTTCATTACTGGATATAGCGCTTTGTGTGAAAACAAATCATTAATTCAAGCATTTTTTCCTCAGGATGCAATCCCAATGATCAGCAAGCTCAATTATGATCAGAAATTTGCACGTGCAATAAAACATGTCTTCGGTAAAACGCTGATTTGTCGGAACATTGAGACTGCTACCCAAATAGCTCGTACACAAAATCTGGATTGTATAACTCTGGATGGTAAGTTTCAGCTGGTAAAATTAGTTTCTGTTCTGTGGAATTTTTGTGTAATTTATTTTGAATATTTAAATTGAAGATGTTTGTTGAATGCTTCATTACCAATTTGCCAGAAGTGTTAGTTTTGTTCTTGGCTCTACCTTTGAAACCATGATTGTAGTTTCACTCTCAACCTACCTGCATCTGTGAAAGTTTGTCAGAGTTTTAGTAGCTTCAGTCCTTGTTGGATTCTCAGCATACTTCACACACTTAAAGATCAAAACATCTTTGAAAAGTTTGTGTTTAAGGTTCATTTGGTCAAGTTAGTGTTACTATTATGATAAAAACTTTGTAAGCTCTTGCGGCTTTATTCCTGCAGGAATTCTCATCAAACTTCAAACACCAATAAAGCATCAAAATTTCAGCGTTGTGGTGTCAAGGTCACTGTTAATATTTTTGGAAAATCATTGTCAGTGCCCTAACTTGTGGTGGCCAATAGGGGGCAAGTATTGCTTCAGCAATACTCCATATGCTTATTTTAGATGTTTGTTGACCTAATTCAATAATCAACAACTTTCAGACATATGTCTGGATACCCATATGAAAATGTTTTTTTTCCAATGTAGCTAGAATGTCGGGTAATTATGTCTCACATTTAGTATCTGTGAGTGTTTGTCTGTAGCACCTCAATACATTTAATTCACATTCTGCCTATAGTATGACATCAAGTTCTACACCTGATTAGACTTTGGTGGTCCTAGGTGAATATTAAAGACATAAAAGTGACCCTTGACAACTCAAGAAATAAAACAAAACATGTGTTTTAGATTTAGCTACAAATCAAGTTCCACACATGACCAGATTGCTGGTCCTTGGTAAGAGGTTAAAGGTCAAAGTCACACTTGAGCACTTTCGATAACAGAGTATATCCTTGGTCATTTTATTTTTTTCATTTCAAATAAATTCTAATGATTGACAGGCATATGTGAGCTTTATAAGCTCTCTCCATGACTTTGATTCCCTATGGATATCTAAATATCTGTGTAACTGCTCAATAAATATTTTCAAACACCTTTATTTGAGTTAAGCAATGTCTTCTTTTACCCTAGGTGACCAGGTAAGCCGCAGAGGTGCTCTGACAGGTGGCTTTTATGACACACGGCGATCTCGACTTGATCTGCAGAAAAGTAAGCTGGAGTTACAACAGAAGCTTGATACACAGGAAAGAGAATATGCTGCTCACAAGTCTAAATTAGAGGTCCTGGAATCTAAAATCAATAATCTTGTTAGTGAAATGCAGAAAACAGAAACGAAAAACAGCAAAAACAGGTAAACAGGCCATCCTGGGATTTAATTAGCATCTTAATAATTCTTGTCGTTTGAATTGTCAATTTGCACTGGTTATAGCAGAAATATAAGATTTTGCCTCAAAACGAATTGATGCGTTTTATAAATCACTACCAGTACTGGTAAAAGTAAAGTTATAGTACTCCAATATGAAAGGATATGGGAGTTCAAGACAGTCCACAGATAAAGAGATGTTTATTTTCCTCAGATTCCTTGGAGTTTGAATGATAATGTTGTTAAACTAAATAAGATAAAGACTATTAATATGTGACCTTTCAGAGACACGTTTGAGAAGATGAGAGCAGATCTAAGATTGATGACAGAAGAACTACAATCCATTGAGAGATCTAGATCACCAAAGGTACATGTCACAAACTGAAATATTTTTTCAGTCTCTGAATAATGTGAACCATAGAATGAGAAGCTTTTATAAACTTCGAAGTGATGTCAAATGTGACAAATAATTTTTGATAATTTCCTTAATAATTTTGTGCTAATAGAAATTTCACATCATGAAACTGGTGGCATCTAAAATATTTTCCAGTTTGATTGGTTATAGTAAGTCAGACAATGTTATGATAGTCAATGTTTTACCTCTTGCCTGCAATTTGCTCAGTTACTGCTCGTTGGGGCTTAGACTTAGATGTGATACCTTTTCAGTCAAAGACACAGCTGTTATTTCATTGGTTATTAGCTCACCTGGTCCAAAACACCAGCGAGCTTATGTGATACTGCAAACCTCTGTCATCTGTCCATCAACTTTTTCTACTAATTGCTTCTAGTCATGAATGACTGAGTGGATTTTGACTAAATTTGATCAGAAAAATCTTTGGGAGAAGAATTGCAATTTTAAAAATAGATGGTTGGTCTTGCCCAAATTTGGTCTGACGCATCCTGGAGTAAATTGAAAATATGTCTTGTATAAATGGTTTTTGTAGGCCTCTGGGGATGGAAGGGGAAATAGAACAAATTATTTGAAATTTTTAGTAGGAAATGCAGGACCCTGTCCCAATTTGGTATGATGCATGTATTGCTTGGCTTACCTGATAGAGTGGTGGCACCCAATGTGGAAATATAGTGTGTTATGTGCTTGGAAACTTAGAATTTCTTTTCCTTTAAGTTTGGATGAAGCAATTTCAGCCAAGCATTGAACCAGGTGAGCAATACAAGCCCAATGAGCCTCTTGTTTTAAGCCCATGGAGTGTCAAAGACATTTGGATGTGATTTCATTGATTATTGCATGTCAGAGGAGGGTCACATTCTAATTCTATTTTCTGTTGTTTGATGTATGATAATTTTGCATGGCACATTGCACAAGTTTAGAATACTGTCATAAGCACATTTGATCTGCAGGAGAAGAGTGTAGCCAGTTTACAGACAAGTTTAGAGGCTATGCAGGGATCAGCTGCCTCACTTAATGAGGAGCTTGGCTCAGATCTTCTGTCTCAACTGAGTGTGGAGGACCAGAGAGAGGTAGATTACCTCAATGACCAGATCAAACAACTTACACAGCAGAACAAGGAGGCTCTTACAGAGCGTATACGGGTAAGGATTATCTCAGACTGAATGGATTTAATCAACCAGATGGTTTTAGTTATACTTCAGTGCTAGGTTTTGTAGAGACCAGACAGAGAGAAAGTTTCACAATTCATATTGGTTATTTTTTATGGTTATATTGCTGAAAGGAAACAAAATCAAAATTTATGATATGGCTATTGTAAAATGTCAGTATCTAGGTATTCTGTATAAAGTTATAAGTATGTTTGTCTTGGTTGTCGCCAGGGTGATGATTGTGCTTTGAGTATTCAAACCATTAGCTACTACAAAATTTTAAATCTTTATGATTTTTAGAGAAAGAATTTCTTAGTTTTAAGTCATTTTGCTGGAAACAAGATGCACTTCTTTAGTTTCATTTCAGGTTTTGTGTATATAAACAATGATTTTATTAATATCTACTTAACCCTATTCCAGAAATATTATGTTCAGGAAACACTTTCTTTTGAAAAACCACTGTATACAAATAGAGTTTCCCAAGGCTAACTGTAAGCTTAATATATATGGATTAACATTTGGTCATTGTTTAAGAATAACTGGTTATTTGATCTGTTTTGTCCTAATAGTTAGAGGGTGAGAAGAACAAACTAGATAACCTTCTCCACAACAACCTGATGAAAAAGCGTGACCGTATCATCCATGAGTTACAAGAAGTGTCCGAGGAAGACAGACGGGCTAGACTTGAAACATTAAATGCAGACCTAATGACTGCAGATGAACGAATAGTGGATCTCAAGAAACAATCAAAAGGTATAGTCTCTATTCCAGGGTTCTCTCCAGAGGTTGCCAATTTTGCAGTTTGTGATTAAAAAAAATTATTTGGCGATTAAATATTGAGTTTGGCAATGTTTTCGGCAACAAAATCACTGATTCTTTTGAAAAATGAGCCAGTAGTCCATTCATTATGTTATACAGGTAATAGTGGTCATGCGGCTGTCTTATCCAGATGAATTCACAGCACAATTATCTACTAACTAGTGACATGCAATGACCATAAATCCCCTCTGATGTGTAGGGTTCACGGTGAACAGTGTGTACATAGTAGACAATAGACTAGGTCTCTGACAGGAAGCACAGGGCATTCGAGACATGACAGGGATTATCAATAAGAGTCCTTACATGCAAACTACCTATTGTGATAATTATTACATTTAACACTAGTAGTAGATAAAAACCAGCTTTGTATCGAAAAAATACGGAGAAAATAGCAAGGTGTGTGTCCTTCAAACCAGGGTACTTTTTTCATAGATTAATGCTTATGTATGAAATACAAACTGCAATTTAAGTAAGAAATACAATAATACTTACCAGAAAAGTTGATTTTACAGTTCAAATGCAGTCATTTAAAAGATATTTCTCCACCAAAATTGTAATGATCAACTAATAGGAAGTTAGCAAAGGAGACTAGTTACATAGTACCAAAATGGATGCAGACCCGAATTCAGGAGTTATTGTTTTTACAGTTGATATGAAATATAAAATAAAAAATGAAAAATTTAAATACATTTTACACAATTTAGATAAAAATTATGACAGGAACAATAAATGACTCCAATCTAACATTTTGCACAGAAAATATTTAACTTTACTATATTTTTTTTCATATTATGAAAGTTATTTATATCAAAGTCTTTGCAATTATCAAGTATAAATACATTTTTTTGAAAAGTATTAAAATCAATTTTGCAATTTATATCTTAATTTTATATCTGTTTTAAAAAGATACATGTACACTTTTGTGATTAACAGCAGTATGGTGTAATCACCATACTGCTGTTAATGTTCCCATTTAAATGTATTTGGGGTCAGAACTCCAGATATTTTATGTATTTAACTATATTATGCATGGACAATTTATTTGGTTACAATTAATTCAGGATGTTTTTCACAAAATATGAAGTGCATGTGCATGACATTACTGCCAGGGTGCTATTTTATTCAGCTACCTAGTATGTTTAAGACCTTATTGAAACAAGGGTACTGAAACTAAATGTGATTTCTTTATTACAGATCATATAAATAATAAATACTTAATCATATCAGAACAATTAGCTCTATTATTTAAACATGGTTTTTGACCCAATTATATTTGGGTCCTAAATTTATGATTGGGCGAAAAAATATCAAGTTTGATGAAATGTTTGGCACAAGAACATTGAAGGCTTGTGTGACCCCTGTAATCCATCATTGAAATAAAATACAAGAAATCTTTCAAAGTCAGCATTTTTAATTAAAAATGCCAACATGAATTATTATGGAAAACTGTTTTGTAAAATCTATGAAAATTGTATGTAATATTTTTGAGATTTATACAGATCAGAAATATTTTTTGAGAAATGTAGTATAGTAAGGAAAATGTTTTATAGTGTTGTTGTGGAAAAGGATCTTTGGATGCACATTGTGTTGACGTTATCTTTGACGAGTTGGCCATCGCGACACGCTCGATCATGTCAACTCATCCCGAAGGTGATGTACGACGGTGCGTTACAATATCGAGTGTAGTTTGCACCCGGTCATACCTGAGAATAGACGTGTTTTCCACGCTCTCGGTGTGATTGCAAACTATATCATACAGACCTGTTCTGTACTATATATTTACGCATCATTCTCCTTATATCTATAAAGCCTTACAACAGTGTAAAATTTGAGGAGTTTCCACAATTTTGTATTTCTAGTATAATTTGTGTGAGAAAGAACAGTACAGAAAGAAATAAAACTTAATACATAGGTACCGAGATACATGCAGCACAACAAGTGAAATGTTAGTGATGTGTTAATGACTTGATAATGACCTGACATCTTCATCAGACGTCATTGATATTCACCTGTACCTATCAAAAGAAAATGTAAAGGGAAAAGTATAGAATGTTGAATCAGATTTCCTGGAAAACCATGTCAGTTTCTACTTTTTGCTTCAGAACTGGATGACCAATTAGATAAAATGAATAAAGAACAAAAGAACTTACAGAATAATTTGGAATATTGGAAGGTAAGTGTCATATCTTCTGCAAGTATTTGTGGTACCCTAAAACAGGTTAAATACAGAACTTTTTTCCTCTTGTTTGTAATTCCTTCTATATGATATTGCTTTACTTTAATCACTTTAATAGAAACTGAAAACTGCTTAATTATTATCTGTTTAAGTGAAGTCAGGGAGTATGGTCTTGTGTTTTATCATATTATGGTTATATGCTCTGTTTAGCTAAAATATGATGTATTTTGGATACAAAGGGGGAAGTTGACATCAAATTGATCTGCAAATGACAGGTCTTAAGTACCAGGTACAATCAACATAAGTTGGTTTGAACTGATCTTATATTCATAGTTATAAAAAAACCCAATAAATTCCTTGTTATTTAATACAGTGGAACCCACTTACTGTCATGTCTGTTTTTGTCACTTTCCGGTTATTACATTTTCTTTTTGAAAAACCTGTTTTTTCCCTGTATATTCTATGTAATCCAACATCTGATAATTTTCATGTAGAAAATGCTTAATATCAGTGCATGACTATCACCAAAAAAAGAGAGTAAATCACAGGTAAGTCAGGACAGGAACTATTGATTCATGCCTGAAGGGTCATATGTCACACCTGAATACATAAACATTAATTCAGCCCTACTGGCCAACTTTTCACATCTTGCAACTCCTGAACAATAGATTAACCCACTTACTTGTAAGGTCCAGGCTAGGTTAAATGAGTCTAGTGTATTTTCATTATTAATTGGCTTGCTGATCCCAATTATTAAAATACTTTGTCACTTGTCACAATGGAACCAATGTTGGAGTGAACCCCCTGCTACAAAGGTTTCTGACTTGCTGCTGAAACAACTGAAAAATGAGTCTTCAGAATGCATATCAGGACCAATTTTAAAACAAAGCAGATTGTTTTACTAAAGATATTAAGAAAATAATCAACCATGAACCAACTGTAATTTATGATAAATTGTGTTTATATTGTTTTTATCTACAATGATCCATAGGATACCAAACCACGGCATGTCAATGTCGTGGTTACAAATGTAGCCATTTTAAAATTTATGAAAGTGCATTTCTGATACAAAGCTGAAGATGCGAAAATAAATGATTTTAAGTTTCGCTTAGATTCTTGCTGATATCAACTTTTAATGTCACATCTGTTTATTATCACATTTCCTTCTGACCAATGGAATGTAATATTAAGCAGGTTTCACTGTATTTCCTTATTGTGTCCCTGCCTTGGCATCCTTGAGGTGATGAAGCATTATTCACCTCGTCAGCCACCATGGGACTGCATTTCTGGTTGATTGTTCTTAACTTTTTATTGCCATCATGATTTGTCTGTGGTCTGGCGTCGTTAACTTTTCACATATTCGACTTCTTCTCAAGAACCACTGAACGGATTTTGACCAAACTTGGCACAAAGCATCCCCATGAGAAGTTGCTTCAAGTTTGCAAAGAAAAAGGGTGTGGCCCCAATAGGGGCCCCAGGAGGGGGGAAAGGGGGTAAAATTAGGTAAATCTTTAAAAATCTTTTTCGCATGAACCAATTGTCAGATTAAGTTCATACGTCGTTAAATTTTAAGGTCACTAAGGCTCATGGTGACCTATTGCCATTATGATTTGTTTGTCGTCGTCCGTTGTGCATCGTTAACTTTTCATATTTCCGAATTCTTCTCAAGAACCACTGGATGGATTTCAACCAAACTTGGCACAAAGTATCCCTATAGTAAGATGCATCAAGTTTGCAAAAGAAAAGGGTGTGGTTCCAATAGGGGCTACAGGAGGGGGCAAAAAGGGGTAAAATTAGGTAAATCTTTAAAAATCTTAGTAGGAACCAATTATCAGATTTTCCTAAAATTCAAAATTAATGATTCTTAGGAGTAAGGTCTACAAAGTTTGCGAATTAGAAAAAAATTGGGTCATAAGCAGGCCCTCCAGGGGGCACTAAAAAGGGGTCAAAATTCAAAGTTGACGGATTTCAACCAAATTTAGAATATAGGGTCCCCTAGTGAAGAACATGTGACTTTGAGTTGAAAAAAAAGTGTCTGAGGGGTTCTGGGGCCTCATGGGGGGCAAAAAGGGGTCAATTAATTTTTTTTTGAAAATGGGTTCTAATGGCATTGACCATGTTTTTGGGTTACAACCACACTAAGCACAAAGCATCTGTGTAATAAGACACATTTAGTTTGAGGGGGGGAAAAGTAATGGCTGCAATAGGGGCCCCAGGTGGGGGTAAAAAAGGAGTAAAATTAGGTAAAGTAAGCTTCTTTAAGTTTACAATAGAAAAAGGTGTGGCCTCAATGGGAGCATATTTAAGGGGCAGAAAGGGGTAGAATTTGTTAAATCTTAGCAAATCTTGTTGTCCTGAACCAAAAGTGTAACTTCATATAGATGATCTTTAGGGAAAGGACTGCAAAGTTTGTGAGAATAAAAATAACTGGTCCAAAATTAGCTCTGCTGATATTTGTTACATATTAATCTTTAATAAAGACATGTTGTGTGTTTATGACAACCATATAGGCGAGAAAAAATGTGTAGCCAGATCTTTCATCAAACCCGGATCTTATTACTCGCTGAACCTTCTATGTTCTGAGCTACATGTATAATATGGTTCAATACCTGTGGTAACACTACATTTCTCAGCCTTGATACATATATATTCCTGTCTCAGAAGTACCACAAGATTTTTTCACATTGTTTTATGTGAGTTTTTTTAGTTGGACGCCTTATTGTATTAGGCAAGGAAAAGATTGTGGATAGACTTGAAATTGATCTGATTTTTGTATACTTTAGCTATGCATGTATCTACTAAGCTATAAATTTCAACTTGTAAATGAAAACATGATTTGCTTTATATAAATGTGCAACCCTGGCCTCTGTTTGGCTAAGACATTTTCTACTTCCTCTCAAGAACCACTGGGTGGATCATGTTCAAACTTGATACAGATGTTTTACACACGGTCCTGCACAAGTGTTGTTACATTTTTGGAACATTTTAAAATCCCCAGATAATTGACATATATTCCTCAGGTGACTGTTAAGGCCCCTTGGGCCTCTTGTGGTATGAACATGCCCTGATTAGGTACGAAATATGAGCACACAGACACAACATTGATCCTGTATTTCTTGTTACAGGGTCAAGAAAAAGACAGCCATGAAAAGATAAGTGATGATGCAAAAGAGCTGGAAAAGATGACAAACAAGCAGTCTTTATTATTAAAAAAGGTTTGTTGAAAATAAGGCCAATCCTGCTACAATACAATGAATGTGTAGACTTACTTTAAAAATCTGTGTAGTTTGAGTCAGTTACATATCTGTAGGGTACTCCACAGTTCTAGTCAGTTACATATCTGTAGATACTCCACAGTTCTAGTCAGTTACATATCTGTAGATACTCCACAGTTCTAGTCAGTTACATATCTGTAGATACTCCACAGTTCTAGTCAGTTACATATCTGTAGATACTCCACAGTTCTAGTCAGTTACATATCTGTAGGTACTCCACAGTTCTAGTCAGTTACATATCTGTAGGTACTCCACAGTTCTAGTCAGTTACATATCTGTAGATACTCCACAGTTCTAGTCAGTTACATATCTGTAGGTACTCCACAGTTCTAGTCAGTTACATATCTGTATATACTCCACAGTTCTAGTCAGTTACATATCTGTAGGTACTCCACAGTTCTAGTCAGTTACATATCTGTAGATACTCCACAGTTCTAGTCAGTTACATATCTGTAGATACTCCACAGTTCTAGTCAGTTACATATCTGTAGGTACTCCACAGTTCTAGTCAGTTACATATCTGTAGGTACTCCACAGTTCTAGTCAGTTACATATCTGTAGATACTCCACAGTTCTAGTCAGTTACATATCTGTAGATACTCCACAGTTCTAGTCAGTTACATATCTGTAGATACTCCATGGTTCAAGTCAGTTACATATCTGTAGGTACTCCACAGTTCTAGTCAGTTACATATCTGTAGGTACTCCACAGTTCTAGTCAGTTACATATCTGTAGATACTCCATGGTTTTAGTCAGTTACATATCTGTAGATACTCCATGGTTTTAGTCAGTCACATATCTGTAGATACTCCATGGTTTTAGTCAGTTACATATCTGTAGGTACTCCACAGTTCTAGTCAGTTACATATCTGTAGATACTCCATGGTTTTAGTAAGTTACATAGCTGTAGGTACTCCACAGTTCTAGTCAGTTACATATCTGTAGATACTCCATGGTTTTAGTCAGTCACATATCTGTAGATACTCCATGGTTTTAGTCAGTTACATAGCTGTAGGTACTCCACAGTTCTAGTCAGTTACATATCTGTAGGTACTCCACAGTTCTAGTCAGTTACATATCTGTAGATACTCCACAGTTCTAGTCAGTTACATATCTGTAGATACTCCATGGTTTTAGTCAGTCACATATCTGTAGATACTCCACAGTTCTAGTCAGTTACATATCTGTAGATACTCCATGGTTCTAGCCAGTTACATATCTGTAGGGTACTCCATGGTTTTAGTCAGTCACATATCTGTAGGTACTCCACAGTTCTAGTCAGTTACATATCTGTAGATACTCCATGGTTTTAGTCAGTTACATATCTGTAGGGTACTCCATGGTTTCAGTCAGTTACATATCTGTAGGTACTCCACAGTTCTAGTCAGTTACATATCTGTAGGGTACACCATGGTTCAAGTCAGTTACATATCTGTAGATACTCCACAGTTCTAGTCAGTTAAATATCTGTAGGGTACTCCATGGTTCAAGTCAGTTACATAGCTGTAGGTACTCCATGGTTTTAGTCAATCACATATCTGTAGGTACTCCATGGTTTTAGTCAGTTACATATCTGTAGGTACTCCATGGTTTTAGTCAGTTACATATCTGTAGGGCACTCCATGCATAATTTTTGCACATTTAAAAAGTCCATACATCATCTGATTGTTACTTTGTGATATGTTTTTTGCATGTTTGTGCCTGAGTCAGGTTTTCAAAGATAAAATTCTTTACATCAAGATTGTATCAGATTTGGTATCAGAACATCACTTTTCCCAGGACAAGTATTTATTGTGAATAAGTCCTTAGGACTAATGATTGATTTCTAATGAGCGATCATTTAAATACTATTGTTATACTCCAGAAGATAACCCAAGTGTAGTAACATACTAAGAATTTTGAAATAGATGGTATCAAGGTTAGAGAGAAAATTTATATTCTACACTTACGTATATATAGAAAGAATTGTTCAATTTTCTCATGATCATTATAAATATTGACTTTTTATGCATGTTATTATGTTTTTTTCATTCAAATAATTTAGAAAGATGAATGCATGCGGAAAATTCGGGAGCTTGGATCGTTACCCAGTGATGCTTTTGAAAAGTACCAGAATTTAAGCTTAAAACAGGTATGAACTGCAACGAAATTACTTGGTCTTAAGTACCAAAATCTGGTATCAAATTATTTCATTCTTTGAAAATTATTTGCCAATGATTGGTTGTTTGGATCTTAACTTTCAAGCCAGGTCGTGTGATGTCACGATGATAAAATGGCTAAGTAAGATTATGATGAGCTAATGCCCTCAGATTTTTACTGTTGTTTTTAAATTCTCGAAAAACTTGAAATTCATTTCCAAAAACTTCATGATTTTAATTTAAGACATTTTTTGTTTTATAAGACCAAATTTTATTTAACTGAAAAATGAAATTGGTCAAAGGATAGTTTTATTTTGTTCCAGTTATTTAAGAAACTTGAACAGTGTAATCACGAACTGAAGAAATATAGTCACGTCAACAAGAAAGCTTTGGACCAGTTTGTAAACTTCTCAGACCAGAAAGAGAAACTTATAAAGAGGAAAGATGAACTAGACAGAGGCCACGAAGTAAGTTGCTCCAATATATTTATGACAGGATTGCCTGCAGTTTCCTTGTGACAATAATGATTACACCTTAATAGTATGTGGAGTATTTCTATTACTCATGATTTATTGTCCTCTGACAAAAGCTGTCATTTTGTAATTTATAAAATCGATTGTTATCAAAACATCGTTGAGAAATGTAAATAACATTTTTGATTCAATGATAACAAGTATGGTCGAGGATGTTCAAAAGTGATTTTTTGTTTGTTTTTTTTTTTGTAGTCAATCCTGGATCTGATGAATGCATTAGACCACAGAAAGTATGAAGCCATTCAGTTGACATTTAAACAGGTGGGTAAATTACTAAAGAATTTATCACCAAAACAATCATAGAATTAATAAGCCAGAAAGGTTTTGTTTCAGTGTACAGAAAATATAAAGGTACCTTGTAGGATTTCAGACAGCTGCTCTCTGTGACTTTGAAATAGTTAATTCACAGCTTTTTACTTGACATATCTCCTTAATTACAGCTGATGAAAGTAGAATATGAAGTTATTTTCCAAAATAGAGGCAGTTAAGATATCAATGGACAATCGGTATACAGACAACACAAGGAAAGCAGGAAACACAGATTGAAATGAAAAATGAAAGTTATGTTGTGGTTGTATTTTTTGTTGTTTCTGAAACAGTTTTATTAGTTACTTGTTTATACTTCGAACTTTCTGCAAATAAGACTTATGCAAAATGAAACAGGAATGATTTCAATATTGATTAACTTGCAGGTCTCTAAGTATTTCAGCGAGATATTTAAGAAACTTGCTCCTCAAGGACATGCCGTGCTTGTGATGAAGAAAGGCGACAATGAACAAAATGTATGTAAAATTAATTACAATTTTGGTGACAATGAGCAAAGTAAAGTTTCATTAGACTTAAATTTGAATCAGAATTATTTGGTTTCTATAAAATTCAAGTTACTATATGTATACAGAAAGCTTGTCATTGGCGTACCAATAAAACAAGGTTCATATTTTATTATTGAAACAAATGCATGAACATTTTAAGTACACCATTACAAACCAACAAGAATTACAAATTTAAACTGGATATCTGGACTTTTCAGGGTGAAGATGATGATGGGTCACCACAGCAAGATGTTCCTTTAGTAGAACAGTTTACAGGCGTTGGCATCAAGGTAAGATATTGATAGAGATGTAGAAATGATGATAGATTCACTTAATATCAGGGTGTGTTACGAATGAGTTATTAACTTAGCCGAGCAGTAGCAATGAAAATGTAAAGAAATATAGAAAAAGGGTACAGCAATGCATCTACACTAAGAGAAATAGGAACTAGTGTTTGAAATGGTGTCCAGACCCTGAAAGGTTTCAACAAATGTATTTATGTATGCTAGCTGACCCCAGTCTTGCTGTTGGTTTCATGTTATAGTTTGTTGATATGCATGTGACGTTTTTGTTATATGTTGAGACTGGTCACAGGAGAAGCTAGGGGCTGGACAACAGTTAGATATAGGTTGTTCAAAAGCCCAGCTGCTTTCTGGCACCCCATAAACCATAAGTTAACAGGAACCAGACTCGACCATTTCCACAGCTCTATTTCACCATGGTCTCCACTGGAATTATGACAATCCACAGGCACATTCATACAGTTCATGCAGCCATATATAGTATTTGATTATAGGGTTATATATAAAACTAAATTAATTCAATTTTGATTCCATTGATGTTTGAAACATATATCAAGACTGATGTGTTCTGTTTGTGTTGTAGGTATCATTCACAGGAAACAGAGCAGAGATGAAGGACATGTTACAGCTATCAGGAGGACAGAAATCACTGGTAGCTCTGACACTTATATTTGCCATTCAGAAATGTGATCCTGCCCCCTTCTACCTGTTTGATGAGATAGATCAAGCTTTAGACGCACAGCACAGGAAAGCTGTAGCAGGTACATCTTGTTAAATCTGAAGTAATTGTTTTGAATAAAGTAAATTTGTGTTTCACATACAAATGATAAGAGAATCAAGCACTATACATGCAGATGTGTGGATGGCTTTTGTTGTAAGTGTATTCATAAACAATTTGAGAAGATATGAACAAGAATTGGTGAGATTTGTCAGGGTTGTATTCTTATTATTTTCCCTGGATGTGCAGAGGGGGTTGGTAGTGCATTTGTTGCGAATATGTATTCATAGTTAATTTTGTTATGAATAGCACAAGTTGAGTTTTTTCTATAAATAAAACTATATTATTTTCATGTGTACAGATATGATTCATGAATTAGCTGGTGATGCCCAGTTTATTACTACTACGTTCCGGCCAGAATTGCTTCAACATGCTGACAAATTCTATGGTGTCAAATTCAGAAACAAGGTCAGTAACGTTATAAAATATAACAAATTTACAGGGTTTACAATACTTGATGTTCAATACATAACTACATTCATTTTATACTACTTCCAATTTGTTGAGCAGATTTTGAATATTTCCATTTTAGACATTATAAACACTAAAACTCATTGTAAATGGATGATGTGCTTAAGGTCTTCTCTTCTCATCATTGAGTTAAAGAGGAAATATGAGAACAGTAAATGAAGTGGCAAAGAGGCGGGTAGTAGTGACCTAGTGTAGGTCTCCAGGAGGCAGAGATGGTTCTTAATGATATATGTTGGATTAATTTACAGGTAAGCCATATTGAATGTGTGAGCCGTGAGGAGGCGGAGGACTTTGTAGAAGATGATTCAACACATGGGTGAGGATTGTCTATCGATTTAGCTGGATAAGTGGCTCCTTCAGACATCCTGGTCTGGATACACATAACAATGATATCTGTGAGGTACCTGCAAGGAACTTCTCTACAAAAGGCAGCATTTTTAGTTAGTGTTGTCTGTGTTCAGGTGATGTCAGCTGGTCCAAAGAGGTATCCGCCTGATCCTAGTGACACTGGATTGTTATAGTAACATCAACAACTCAAAGTGCCATGTGACTGATTCTTATTATGGCACGAGACATAATTACGCAATATCATAGACAAATCTTGGAACTTACGGCATGACTGATGTCATATATGGAAGTTAGTACAGGTTGAGAATGTTACATTGTTCACTAAGATTAATTTGAATGATGAGCTCTATAAATAAGAGAAATATGAATATGTAACTCCATTAGAAATTAAATGTGTTCTGATGAAAATTCTTTTAAAATTAAAAGCAAAAACATTGTTGAATTGAAAAATGTTTAAAGGTATACCACTATTTGTTAAATTGAATAATTTTAAAATATTATCAATGATAAGTGATGTTTCTTTTCTCCAAAAGTCTTACTGGTAATAAATTATTCAAATATTAACGTAGGTCAAGGAATTTATGTGCTGTTTTTTTCTAGTTAATAAAAGAGTTCAGATCATGTATGATATTGACTTTAATGTTAAGTCATGTTGCCATTGGTTTTATCTGAAAAAATGTAGAGTATGTCAAGGCAGCCTGAGAGGGTTACACATGAGAGAGAGTGTTTCCACAGGAAAAGTGAAAGAATGAAGTATCATGAGAGAAAGAGGACATATAATATTCCCACTTATATCATTCACCATTAATATCACAGCTGTAACATAACACAACGGAATCAGTAACTATACTATTTTGCTGATAAGGTTACCCATTAGGGCAGGGCTAATGATCTCACAACAGTTTAAAATTCTCTTTCATCTGCAACTTTATCTGATACACTCATGCAGGAATGTATATAAAGTTACAGGGGAAGATCTGGAGTTGTCGTTCAAAAGTCATAAGGTTTTTACTTCAGTGTTGGATAAAGTGGGTTGAACCTCCTGTTTGTAGTTAAGGCCAGTAAAAATAATGAGAAAAACGTCATCAGTGTAAGTGGTCTTTAATACTGAAGGAAAAATCTCACAAGGAAATCTGAAAGATTCAAGGAAAGAAATATTCAGTGCTGATTGTAAATGTTTTAATGCAGTTTTATTGTGAAACAGCTTATTCCTGGCTATGAAACTAAATCTGTTGCACAACTTGTGTTAGAAATTCATTCTGTCCTGCATTTGTTGAAAAATGATAAATGTTGAACAGAAGCAAATTTCAGATTGAAGCCATGTTGGTTAACATAATGTTAAACTAGATAGTGGTGCAAATCAGTTGCAAGATAGTAAAGCTTTTATCTAAGAGTTGTGTAGTCCCAGTAATCCCGACCTCTTGACATCTTCCTCTGCTGAGAAACACATCATCTTGACGGGTAGGAAGGAGTGTGGAATTATTTGTAATTACTGATTGTTGTCAAGTGTTTTTGTATAAATGTTGTTAATAAGATGGTCAGATATTTTTTAAATATATTGTGCAAGTCTTTGATGTTTATCATTCATCTTAATCATTCTGTTATGTCTGTATTAGAGGTGATTTGAACTCTTGTATCAGATCTGTTAGATTCATGTCCTAAATTTATCATACTTTTATCTATGTAAATATTGAATAAATATTGAAAAGAAAATTCAGATAATGTTTTGTTATCTGTTTTAAAATACTGAAACACATACCTTACAAATGAAATGTTTGTTACCACTTATGATGCAGAGTGTTAACAATGCAAGTTGAGAACCGCAAGTGGAGCTGTTGTAGACTATTTGTCGGGAGTTATATTCTGTTTTCAGCCGCCACTTTTGGGACGTGGTTGGTTGTATAATGAGATTTTTATTGGACATATTTGAATATCATTTGAGAGAGTTATTGTCCCTTGGACTTGGAATAAACAACTGTTGCCAAACTGTCTTGTGTTAAAAATGATCAAAAATGAAAATGTTATGATGGCGTTCCTGAAGAGGGCTATTTCTTCATTACTTTTGTACTTAATATGATATATCGTTGTGTACTAATATATAATAGGATTCTTATGTAAACACAGAGGTTTCTCGAAACAAAGTATCTGATGATCTGCTTTGTACATAATATGGTTTTTACAGTATTTATATATCAAGTGACCTCATAGAATTGTTTTTGCGAGTCCGTGTAATGAGCGAATGGATTTTCATCTCATGTAATGATTTGCAATAAAAACCTCTACGTTGATTTTGTTAATTCGTCTACTATTCGGCCTCGCGGAAGAACCGCGGTAAAAAGTATGAGAAAGTCTACTGAAGATATTGATAATATACGTTAGTTAATTTTGTAACAATTCTGCTCCCGGTGTGTGTAATGACTGGTTACCATGTTACGTTTGTATTTACCAATTACCATATGTGTTTTAATGTCTCGATAAGTACTCGATAGATATATTGCCGACCGTCCACACGCCTAACCAGTCCAGCGTGACGACACGGCTCACTGACCGCTATTGTTTTTTTCAATGAAGCGATACTCGTCGAGTAGTACTTGTTGTGGGTATATAACGGAGGTATCCCAGGTATCAACTACCTTCCACCTTCATCACATACGAATCTATTCCATATTTGTGTGACCAATTTTCTTTGTTGAATCTTAGGGTTTGTTGTTTGAAATCTTCTGATATCGTCATTTTTGTCAAAGGTAAACGTAGTACTTCAGTGGTAAATATATTGTCTCGGAAGTGACGCATTGACACTGCAGGATGTCTACAGAGAAGATACTCCACCTGAAGGACCGTCTTGTGGAATTGGAACGATTCTACCACAGCGCATGCGTACAGCTATCAGTTCTCAACGTGGCCATGGACGAACTGTCAAATAAGTATGAACGGGCAGACCGAGGTGGCGACCGTACCTTCCGGTACATACTGCGGATGCGTATGGCAATCACAGAAGGTGTCCGGAACATGTTCTATGAGTATGCCACTCAAAAAGCGTTCCAAATCAGCAAGGTCCGACAGACCATCCTAGTGGAACACGCCTTCTCCGAGGAAAGCGGCGACGAAATGGAGGACAACTATCTTGGTTACGGCTTTACCAGATACTCGTACGATGACGATGACGACGACGAAGATGAAGAAGACAGCGAACTTGACGAGACAACAGAGGGACAAATAGCCATCTAAGATATGGCTCGAGACAAAGAGATGTACATCTCATTTACAAACGGCACTTTTCAGTGCCAACAAATACCCCAGAAGGGTTCAATGACACTCGATTATTTACGCATTTCAATGTTATGTACTGATTAGTTTGAACAGTCGAGGTATCGTCAAAATCCCAAATTTCATATTTTCATTCCCTCCGCTGGGGGTGACGATACCAGAATATGACAAAGAAAAGACGCAAAAATAATGCATGAAACGTGAAGCCGAGGCATTTATTAACTGATGTTTATGACCGTTTCACGTGAATGCCAAAACGCGGAAAACACGATGGTATAATGAGAATATGACATGGTTTCAAGCGAGGTTAGGATCCCTCTTACGCTCCCGTTTTCTCGTTAACACCATCCTCGATATTTCATGGGTTACAATCACTTTCGCTCTCTGCATCTCTGCACAGACTAATATGCTCCTTCTGAAGATAACAAAGAGCGACGACCAACTTCAATGCCACTAAAATGTGACTTCAAGATTCGTTTGATATACACCAAACGATCGACCAATTTTTTTTTCACCTTCTTCACAAAGTGACACTAATGGAACCTTCAATTTCGCCATGAAATTTTCCAGGGGTGCAGAGAGGACGACAGTGTAGATAGCTTATCTCTCACCGAGGACGACAGTGTAGAAAGCTTATCTCTCACCGAGGACGACAGTGTAGAAAGCTTATCTCTCACCGAGGACGACAGTGTAGAAAGCTTATCTCTCACCGAGGACGACAGTGTAGATAGCTTATCTCTCACCGAGGACGACAGTGTAGATAGCTTATCTTTCACCGAGGACGACAGTGTAGAAAGCTTATCTCTAGGATCTCCCACCGAGGACGACAGTGTAGATAGCTTATCTCTAGGATCTCTGACAGAGGACGACAGTGTAGAAAGCTTATCTCTCACCGAGGACGACAGTGTAGAAAGCTTATCTCTCACCGAGGACGACAGTGTAGAAAGCTTATCTCTCACCGAGGACGACAGTGTAGATAGCTTATCTCTCACCGAGGACGACAGTGTAGAAAGCTTATCTCTAGGATCTCCCACCGAGGACGACAGTGTAGATAGCTTATCTCTAGGATCTCTGACAGAGGACGACAGTGTAGATAGCTTATCTCTCACCGAGGACAACAGTGTAGATAGCTTATCTCTAGGATCTCCCACCGAGGACGACAGTGTAGACAGCTTATCTCTAGGATCTCTGACAGAGGACGACAGTGTAGATAGCTTATCTCTCACCGAGGACAACAGTGTAGATAGCTTATCTCTAGGATCTGTCACCGAGTACAACAGTGTAGATAGCTTATCTCTAGGATCTGTCACCGAGGACGACAATGTAGATAGCTTATCTCCACCGAGGACAACAGTGTAGATAGCTTATCTCTAGGAACTCTGACAGAGGACGACAGTGTAAATAGCTTATCTCTAGGATCTCTGTCGGAGGACGAAAGTGTAGATAGCTTATCTCCACCGAGGACGACAGTGTAGACAGCTTATCTCTAGGATCTCTGACAGAGGACGACAGTGTAGATAGCTTATCTCTCACCGAGGACAACAGTGTAGATAGCTTATCTCTAGGATCTGTCACCGAGTACAACAGTGTAGATAGCTTATCTCTAGGATCTGTCACCGAGGACGACAATGTAGATAGCTTATCTCCACCGAGGACAACAGTGTAAATAGCTTATCTCTAGGATCTCTGACGGAGGACGACAGTGTAGATAGCTTATCTCCACCGAGGACGACAGTGTAGATAGCTTATCTCTAGGAACTCTGACAGAGGACGACAGTGTAAATAGCTTATCTCTAGGATCTCTGACGGAGGACGACAGTGTAGATAGCTTATCTCTCACCGAGGACAACAGTGTAGATAGCTTATCTTTCACCGAGGACGACAGTGTAGATATCTTATCTCTAGGATCTCTGACAGAGGACGACAGTGTAGATAGCTTATCTCTAGGATCTCCGACAGAGGACGACAGTGTAGATAGCTTATCTCTAGGATCTCTGAAAGATGACGACAGTGTAGATAGCTTATCTCGTGGATCTCTGACAGAGGACGACAGTGTAGATAGCTTATCTCTAGGATCTCTGAAAGAGGACGACAGTGTAGATAGCTTATCTCTAGGATCTCTGAAAGAGGACGACAGTGTAGATAGCTTATCTCGTGGATCTCTGACAGAGGACGACAGTGTAGATAGCTTATCTCTAGGATCTCTGACAGAGGACAACAGTGTAGATAGCTTATCTCTAGGATCTCTGACAGAGGACGATAGTGTAGATAGCTTATCTCTAGGATCTCTGAAAGAGGACGACAGTGTAGATAGCTTATCTCGTGGATCTCTGACAGAGGACGACAGTGTAGATAGCTTATCTCTAGGATCTCTGACAGAGGACGACAGTGTAGATGTAGATAGCTTATCTCTAGGATCTCCCACCGAGGACGACAGTGTAGATAGCTTATCTCTGACAGAGGACGACAGTGTAGATAGCTTATCTCTGACAGAGGACGACAGTGTAGATAGCGTATCTCTAGGATCTGTCACCGAAGGTGACAGTGTAGAAAGCTTATCTCTAGGATCTGTCAACGAGGACGACAGTGTAGATAGCATATCTCTAGGATCTCCCACCGAGGACGACAATGTAGATAGCTTATCTGTAGGATCTCTCACCGAGGACAACAGTGTAGATAGCTTATCTCTAGGAACTCTGACAGAGGACGACAGTGTAGATAGCTTATCTTTCACCGAGGACGACAGTGTAAATAGCTTATCTCTAGGATCTCTGAAAGAGGACGACAGTGTAAATAGCTTATCTCTAGGATCTCTGACGGAGGACGAAAGTGTAGATAGCTTATCTCCACCGAGGACAACAGTGTAGACAGCTTATCTCTAGGATCTCTCACCGAGGACGACAGTGTAGATATCTTATCTCTGACAGAGGACGACAGTGTAGATAGCGTATCTCTAGGATCTGTCACCGAGGGTGACAGTGTAGAAAGCTTATCTCTAGGATCTCTGAAAGAGGACGACAGTGTAGATAGCTTATCTCTAGGATCTCTCACCGAGGACGACAGTGTAGATAGCTTATCTCGTGGATCTCTGACAGAGGACGACAGTGTAGAAAGCTTATCTCTAGGATCTCTCACCGAGGACGACAGTGTAGATAGCTTATCTCTGACAGAGGACGACAGTGTAGATAGCGTATCTCTAGGATCTGTCACCGAGGGTGACAGTGTAGAAAGCTTATCTCTAGGATCTGTCAACAGTGTAGAGGACGACATGTAGATAGCTTATATCTCTGACCGAGGACAACAGGATCTCCCACCGAGGACGACAGTGTAGATAGCTTATCTCTAGGATTTCCCACCGAGGACGACAGTGTAGATAGCTTATCTTTCACCGAGGACGACAGTGTAGATAGCTTATCTCTAGGATCTCCCACCGAGGACGACAGTGTAGATATCTTATCTGTAGGATCTCTGATCGAGGACAACAGTGTAGATAGCTTATCTCTCACCGAGGACAACAGTGTAGATAGCTTATCTCTAGGATCTCCGACAGAGGACGACAGTGTAGATAGCTTATCTCTAGGATCTCCCACCGAGGACGACAGTGTAGATATCTTATCTCTAGGATCTCTGACAGAGGACAACAGTGTAGATAGCTTATCTCTAGGATCTCTCACCGAGGACGACAGTGTAAATATCTTATCTCTAGGATCTCCGACAGAGGACGACAGTGTAGATAGCTTATCTCTAGGATCTCTGACAGAGGACAACAGTGTAGATAGCTTATCTGTAGGATCTCTGACAGAGGACAACAGTGTAGATATCTTATCTCTCACCGAGGACGACAGTGTAAATAGCTAATCTCTAGGATCTCTCACCGAGGACGACAGTGTAGATAGCTTATCTCTAGGATCTCCCACCGAGGACGACAGTGTAGATAGCTTATCTCGTGGATCTCTGACAGAGGACGACAGTGTAGATATCTTATCTCTAGGATCTCTGACCGAGGTCAACAGTGTAGATATCTTATCTCTAGGATCTCTGACAGAGGACGACAGTGTAGATAGCTTATCTCTAGGATCTCTGACAGAGGACGATAGTGTAGATAGCTTATATCTAGAATCTCCCACCGAGGACGACAGCGTAGGTAGCTTATCTCTAGGATCTGTCACCGAGGTCGACAGCGTAGGTAGCTTATCTCTAGGATCTGTCACCGAGGTCGAAAGTTTAAATAACTTATCTCCATAATATCTTAACAAGGGATGACATAATGGACAGTATGCCTCCCTTAGTCCTCCGATCTATCAGCAATAGATAGCGACAGTGTCAAAACAGTGCCGCTCTCCGATCTCAACAGAGGAAACAGCATCGACAGCACGTCACTAAGATTTCACCACACATGATGAGAATGTCAGTGGTAGAGCGCGATAGTATGTCACTCCAGAAGTGGCAACCAGAGCACGATAGACTCTTTTACATCAGCCGCTTGTCTCGATCTTTTCCTACAACGAAACACCATGGGCGGCTTCCCACCGACTTTCAGTCGCCAACTGACGGATAAATCCATAACACACGGTTTCAAAAGATGTAGACTGATAGAAAATATGGGGAAGTTTCATGGTTGCCATAGTGATCTCATTGAGAAATATTCTACTTTTTGTGTGATATGAAGCTGGACGTTGTTCAGTTGTTGTATACTACGTTCTCATTTGAGAACGTGACATTACTTATTTGGATTGACCAAGATTTATTTACATCGTGGCTTCGTTGATGAAGCAGAAACGCTTACTCTTGCATTACACCTGGTCTTATTCTCCTTGTATTGTAAATCTGTAATTTTTCAACAGAGAGCGACAGTATCAAAAGCATGCAAAACTCAGGTTTCTAGATCTTAACAGAGGGCGTCAGTGTCAGATCTCTAGATCTTAACAGAGGGCGTCAGTGTCAGATCTCTAGATCTTAACAGTGGGAGACAGTATCAAAAGCATGCCAAAGTAGGTCTCTAGATCTTAACATTGGGCCACAGCGTCAGATATCTAGAACTTAACAGTAGGCGACAGCGTCAGATCTCTAGATCTTTACAGTGGGCGTCAGCGTCGATACCATGGAAATAGTTCACAAACAAAAAATCGAAAATTTCTTTTTAATTGTTTCAAAATAATTGAAGTCTATTTTCGTTTATTGACGATGGTAAACCCTAGCTATCAGCCTCTGACAAATAACAGGGGCGCCATGGATTCGATGACGTGATTTTCGACAACACACTCTATATCTCTGACGCCCGAAACAAACGCGGCCTTTAGAAGTTAACAAATGGAGTTTCCTTTTCTCAGCTTGCCGGCGGAGCTTAAACGCACGAGCATACTTAGCAACAATAGCTGTCACCTGAGATGAAATGCGTTTCTGTTTGAATTTTTCTAAACGTTTTTGTATCCTCTGTCTCTGGGTTTCCCTTCTGACATCATTGCTCTGGTGTGGTTTTACCTGCAAAATTAGATACTATATGTAATAATCTGTGTTGATGTTTGATGCAGGCTACCCTTGACCTATGTATGATCTTACGAATTCAAACAAATCATTTAAAATCAATTATCATTGTTAAGAAGGGCAAAATATTATTATGAATGGTTTTAATAAAAGTAGAAAGTATGTATTTTATGTTGTTAACAACTTAATTAAACTTGGATTATTTTCTCTTTAAGAATGTTGAGCTTAAACTTTTTTCTACAATATACAATACATTTCATTAAACTGTCGAATGTCATTTTTTTCAAATAATGAAATGAAAGAAGACAAGACGACACAAAATAAGAAATATGAAAAGGGATTTGACAGTAAGCTTGTAGCTTATTTAAGTCATCTCCCGAAATGTTGACCTTGTTGATCTTTATATATAGTAACATAGTGATGAACGTGAAGATGTATCTCACCAGCTGATTCCTGTCACTATCATCAATGTTAGTGTAACACTCATTTATATGGCTGTACATCTTTGATACTCAAGGGGTTACGATCACTTTCACTCTTTGCACCTCTGGAACAGGTCATGGCAAAATTGAAGGTTCCGAGCATGAAACCTTGTACACAAAACAAAAAGGCTAGTTTGATTCTTTGATGAACATCAATCGAATTTCGGGATCGCATAATGGTATATTGTAATGGCTCTGAAGTTGGGTGTCGCTCCTTTGTACTATTCTAAAGGATCGTATCAGCCCGTGATTGGTAAGTTTTTTTCCTCCTAGAACCAATTAAATCACTTGGCTTGTGCCTTCGATTTTGCCATGACAATACATAGCAAAGAAATGGTGTTATCGTACAAGGTATTGGTATGTTTAGACTGTGTACTTCATCGTTATCGTTCAAGGTATTGGTATGTTTAGACTGTGTACTTCATCGTTATCGTTCAAGGTATTGGTATGTTTAGACTGTGTACTTCATCGTTATCGTACAAGGTATTCGTATATCCATGTAGTGTATGTCATTGCTTACATTATTGATATAATGTATCTGTATGTCATTGTTTACATTATTGATATAATGTATCTGTATGTCATTGTTTACATTATTGATATAATGTATTTGTATGAGTGATGAGATAACGATCGAATAAAATCGTGCAATCTCACCTGCGATGTTCGATTCTACCTATTCATAATCGATCATCGGTTCCTTCATATTTTCTCGAAGTAAGTATACTACAAGATGCCACTGTTTTGTAAATTCTAGGTAAGAATGCATTCCCTTTCTGTGAATATTGAACACAGCCGACAATGTAATCCATTATATGCATGGCTTGTCTTACAAATCATAGGCGTAAGTCAGTGAACTCGGACAGAAAGAGACTTAGCATGTTGTAGGACGAATCCGTGTAGTCTGCTCATAAGAGTACTGTTGAGTAAAAATGAATAAATGTTGGCGGAAAATCTCCGGAGTTGAGTATTGATCAATGCGAAAGAAAGAAAAAAAAAACAAATAAAAAATACGTTTCTGGTACCAAGGTCAAGAACGATCCTCGGTATAACAGAAAATGCTTCAGCTGACTCGACTTGCTATTTAGCGAATAGGATGACATCACAGACTGATGAATATGGTCTTGCTTGTCAAATTTGGTTTCAGCGATGTATTTTTGAAACAAGAGGCCAGAGGAGAGACCAGGTGAGCAAAAAAAAAAAAAATAAGCACAGAGGAAAATGCTAACTATTCTTATTTGGTAAGCATGGTTTTACACTACCGTCGATAATCCCCGCAGTCTAGTTACGTTCCATCGTCGAACATAGGTTGCCGACGGCCAGTTTATTGCTAATGGACTCTGAGAACTGAACTGAATGCAAGTACTGGCATTTTGGTTAAGAGCGTGATTTTTTGGGTTGTAATAATACCCTTATTCATCAGAAGATATACCATTGACTAAGGCAGGAGAGTAGGAGGGTATGAGAATGAAGGAAAAACTCACCAGATATTAGGCAAGTAATAACTGTAGTTTATGTGTGTCGAATGTCGTACAATTTGTGTCTCTAAAATTTATCATTATTGATATTTTCCTTACCACTGGAAAATAATTATTAACGTGATGAGTCGTCGTGAAGCTAACATTTCTTTGGGTGGTCGGGTAGCGCAGTAGTAACGCACTCGCCTTTCACCTAGCCGACCGGGGTTCGATTCCCGTGACGGACGTGAAAAGGTAAGGGGTCACGTGTGTACTCCAGTTTCCTCAAACAATAAGACCCCTCGCGCGCTTACATTCGGGCCAACAAGAGTGATTAGTATAAGTTGACATAACTTGTTTCGCAATTGTTATAAAATAAATAAAGTATATCTATATGTGTATATATATAACTCTTTATATATAAAAACATCACAATCTTACACATATAACAAAAAAAGTTTTTCTTCGTGTAAATTCATCCTGAAGCAAACGCTTCATATGTAAACCATTCATAATTATCTTTCATACAATACAAAAAGTGATTTTGTTTGTTAAAATCAAAAAGTTTGTTTTATTGGCAACATTAATTCATACTATCAAAATTAATGAAAATATGTATATATATAATCTGTGTAAGTGAAGGGAAAATTCCAGTACATAACGAATTGAAAAACACTAACAATTCAGAAAATACAATCTACAGATATAATATCAATAAACTACACTCAGATACAATTCCTGTAAAATTGGTAAATAGACTTTCGAATGCTTTTCATGTGACAAAATCAAAACATAACTAGAATATATGACGCGACTTGGTGTTACAAGGTCATCACGTGATGATTAGATGCCACGTGATATTCACAGCAAAGCATTCGACATCAAAGTTATAAAGATCACACTGTAATTGGATAGACATGCAAGTCCTTGATAGCAATTATGGGTGTCAATAAAGTAATTATCATGATAAAACCTCTGCCCCAGCCCCATTGCCTTCAGATCCAAACTTAAACAATTATCTTATATGAAAACAATGACTCGTGGTAATGAGAATGTGCTAACACATACAGTATGACAAATTACCCGTCTAACACATTCAAATGTCCACAGAAAGTATAGAAAACCCATCGTATCTACATACAAAGTCTAAATGTGCGAATATGATATTAATATCGGGGCACCTCGAGGTTCGTCTGGACTAGACACTGGACGTAACTGTTATGTATAGAACGTGCTTAGCGTCAGGTGTAGGGGCTGGGTTAGACTCGGTTTATTATAGGTTCAATGGAACGACATGCACATATGTACAGATGTGACATTATGATTCAGGTGTAAAACGTGTTCCAAATGTCTACAGCGATACATTTATACAACTCCATACATATCAATCAGTAATATGTAAATAAATCAACGCAATTTGATTTCTTAGTTTGTGTATACTATAGCATTGTGTGGGTAAGTAGTTCACCTATGATAAGTTTGTTCGGTTACCTAGTGGTCAGTTCACTATCATAAATTTGCCCGGTTACCTAGTGGTCTGTTCACTATCATAAATTTGCACGGCTACCTATTGGTCTGTTCACTATAAGAAATGTGCCCGGTTACCTAGTGGTCAGTTCACTATAAGAAATGTGCCCGGTTACCTAGTGGTCAGTTCACTATCATAAATTTGCACGGCTACCTAGTGGTCTGTTCACTATAAGAAATGTGCCCGGTTACCTAGTGGTCAGTTCACTATCATAAATTTGCACGGCTACCTAGTGGTCTGTTCACTATAAGAAATGTGCCCGGTTACCTAGTGGTCAGTTCACTATAAGAAATGTGCCCGGTTACCTAGTGGTCAGTTCACTATCATAAATTTGCACGGCTACCTAGTGGTCTGTTCACTATAAGAAATGTGCCCGGTTACCTAGTGGTCAGTTCACTATCATAAATTTGCACGGCTACCTAGTGGTCTGTTCACTATAAGAAATGTGCCCGGTTACCTAGTGGTCAGTTCACTATCATAAATTTGCACGGCTACCTAGTGGTCTGTTCACTATAATAAATGTGCCCGGTTACCTAGTGGTCAGTTCACTATCATAAATTTGCACGGCTACCTAGTGGTCTGTTCACTATCATAAATTTGCACGGCTACCTAGTGGTCTGTTCACTATAAGAAATGTGCCCGGTTACCTAGTGGTCAGTTCACTATCATAAATTTGCACGGCTACCTAGTGGTCTGTTCACTATAAGAAATGTGCCCGGTTACCTAGTGGTCAGTTCACTATCATAAATTTGCACGGCTACCTAGTGGTCTGTTCACTATAATAAATTTGCCCGGTTACCTAGTGGTCAGTTCATCTATGAAAAGTTTGCCAGTTACTTAGTGGTCAGTTGACTAAAATAGATTTGCCCGGTTACCTAGTGGTCAGTTCACTATAATAAATTTGCCCGGTTACCTAGAGGTCAGTTCACTATCATAAATTTGCACGGCTACCTAGTGGTCAGTTCACTATAATAAATTTGCCCGGTTACCTAGTGGTCAGTTCACCTATGAAAAGTTTGCCAGTTACTTAGTGGTCAGTTGACTAAAATAGATTTGCCCGGCTACCTAGTGGTCAGTTCACTATAATAAATTTGCCCGGCTACCTAGTGGTCTGTTCACTATAATAAATTTGCCCGGTTACCTAGTGGTCAGTTCACCTATGAAAAGTTTGCCAGTTACTTAGTGGTCAGTTGACTAAAATAGATTTGCCCGGCTACCTAGTGGTCAGTTCACTATAATAAATTTGCCCGGCTACCTAGTGGTCTGTTCACTATAATAAATTTGCCCGGCTACCTAGTGGTCTGTTCACTATAATAAATTTGCACGGTTACCTAGTGGTCTGTTCACTATAATAAATTTGCCCGGTTACCTAGTGGTCAGTTCACCTATGAAAAGTTTGCCAGTTACTTAGTGGTCAGTTGACTAAAATAGATTTGCCCGGCTACCTAGTGGTCAGTTCACTATCATAAATTTGCACGGCTACCTAGTGGTCTGTTCACTATAAGAAATGTGCCCGGTTACCTAGTGGTCAGTTCACTATCATAAATTTGCACGGCTACCTAGTGGTCAGTTCACTATAAGAAATGTGCCCGGTTACCTAGTGGTCAGTTCACTATAAGAAATGTGCCCGGTTACCTAGTGGTCAGTTTACCTATATTAAATTCGCCTAACTAGTGATCGCCTGTAATAAGATTGCCCGGCTACCTAGTGGTCAGTTCACTATAATAAATTTGCCCGGTTACCTATTGGTCAGTTCACCTATGAAAAGTTTGCCAGTTACTTAGTGGTCAGTTGACTAAAATAGATTTGCCCGGCTACCTAGTGGTCAGTTCACCTATAATAAATTCGCCTGACTAACTAGTGATCGCCTGTAAAAAGATTGTCCGGCTACCTAGTGGTCAGTTCACCCATAGCGAGTTTGCCCGGTTACCTAGCTAGTGGAAATTTGGTGACCTTATAACACGGAAGTCTATTCAAATTCCGTGCCTATAACAACGTTTTCCGGCAAGTTGGCATAGCAAAGCAATGTAGGGTGATTAGTGGTCAAATGACTTAGAATAGAAAGAGTACGATAAAGTAGTGGTCAGTTACTGTCAGTCTAAAACGACTTTATTTTCCGTATTGATGATTAATTTCAACAATTTTAATATTAAACCTTGCAAAAATAATGTTCTGTTAAGTTTGATCGTAGACAGATAAGTAGTTTAAAATACTAAAGAAAAACGTCGGAAGCCAAACTAGTCTACCAACATCACTCAGTTATAAGCCATGCATAATCCGCCTTCACCTACCAATCACGACTGGCATACCATCACACACGATGTTATCAAAACAACACCTACTCGTCAATCTCAACAGAAAGGACCATTGTAAACTGAAATGTTTGGCTGTCCTATTTATTTACAACAGTTGGTTTAAAGCCCCAATATACGTAACATTCACCAAAAATTTAGTGTAGAATCACACATAATTATTGAGATATTCTCTAAGATGTAGTTAAAATTAAGTTATTCAAACAATAGTTACAATGACTTTGTGCATAAAGTGTTGATATATGAGCAGTTGAAACTCGCTATTTGTAAACACACCTCCATTTTAAACACGCCGCCATCAAAATTACGATTGTTGCCGAACCACGTCGGAAAGTTCATGACCTGATCTCGCGAGAGTTGAGGTTTCTACTTATAGAGGAAGCACATGCAGATATGTCTACGGTAAGTTTTTGTTTACAAACATTGTTTGCGAAGTCTTGTCGTACACTTGAGGTATTCCTGTGATAAACATTCAGTCTTTGGGAAATTATTAGATGGAATAATTAGTTTAGAAACGATACGACGCACAATTATAACGTAAGAATTCAGAACTGGCCTGATGTATGATTGAAAAAAAAGGAAGCGACTGGTGAACGTCTGTACTGTGTCTGCCATGTTTACACACGCGGAATATGCGCATGCGCAATGTCATCGTTACGAGCGGTAATGTATGAATTATTGTGGGTCCCACATTGTTTATTTTCCGATTTTTTCAATTTTTATTTAAATTGAAAACAGTCAGTTTTATTTTCTTTAGTTAAAGGAAAGTTTTGTTACATGTATTACGGGGAAAATAAGATAAAGTTTTTTTTATAGTGATTTTTACGTATATTGGGGCTTTAAATGTGGTAATAACTCAGGCCATATACCACACAACTGAGGTGTCTATCCAGTATACACGGATGCGTAATAAATGCGTTGTCATTGTCAGAGTTTATAACATGCTTCAATTTGTGCAACAGATATCTCCATTAAGCATCATTTTATATACTATCAACACGATAATTTTTATACATCATATTGCCATTCACACAAGTTGTCGCGTACACGATACTGCCATTGTATAATAGTTATCTCCCTTCGACTGAGTTCTCCTAGCTCTCTATATTGCCATATGTGTAAAAGTCAAATACCCTGCACGATAAAGCAGCTATCTGACATGAACTGTAATTTGACCTCACCACATTTTAAGACACATGAACAAACTTCGATCTAATAACTTGGTTGGAGATAGATACGGCTCTAATGTAACAAATCCTTCCGATGTTTCAAAGTATACACGATTAATCAAAGCCACGTTCGTTAGAAATTTCTTTAATTTTTTTATGCGGAATAAAAGTTTTGAGAGGATAAAAACAAGTCTGTACTCCTTAACAATTATAACTGACCACATCTAATTTGGAAGGACAACAGTTTTATAAGTACTGGTGGTTAACTGGTCACTGTACAGCATCATGTAAAACCTAAATCACGTTGTAAAATATGTGTTGCTGTTATTTATCACAGCGTCATACACAGTATATGTACAGCTCTGATGCTAATGTACAATAATGCTGTTTCTCTATACAAAATAATTTAATTTTTATATACACTAAGCTTATGATTCATATTTCATCTAAACCAGTCGCTATATAATCTTTATACTTAGCATAACATCCTGAATTGAGGTCGAGACTGATATAACATCTCGCCTCTGTATGGAGATACCCAAAGTGTCTACAGTATCAGAGACTGATATAACATCTCGCCTCTGTATGGAGATACCCAAAGTGTCTACAGTATCAGAGACTGATATAACATCTCGCCTCTGTATGGAGATACCCAAAGTGTCTACAGTATCAGAGACTGATATAACATATCGACTCTGTATGGAGATACCCAAAGTGTCTACAGTATCAGAGACTGATATAACATCTCGCCTCTGTATGGAGATACCCAAAGTGTCTACAGTATCAGAGACTGATATAACATCTCGCCTCTGTATGGAGATACCCAAAGTGTCTACAGTATCAGAGACTGATATAACATCTCGCCTCTGTATGGAGATACCCAAAGTGTCTACAGTATCAGAGACTGATATAACATCTCGCCTCTGTATGGAGATACCCAAAGTGTCTACAGTATCAGAGACTGATATAACATCTCGCCTCTGTATGGAGATACCCAAAGTGTCTACAGTATCAGAGACTGATATAACATCTCGCCTCTGTATGGAGATACCCAAAGTGTCTACAGTATCAGAGACTGATATAACATATCGCCTCTGTATGGAGATACCCAAAGTGTCTACAGTATCAGAGACTGATCACTAGTACTTTTGTAGGCATTGAAGTTATAAGAACTTCTGTTCTATAGAAAATGGAAGACTTTTTGTAGCATGTATCATATCACAACGAATTCCTGAACGTTTGATCAAATGTCACGTGATTTTGGAGGCGGAAGTGCTCTTAAACCGAAGACATCAGGCGCTGAAGGAATAAGGAAAGAAGAACAGCCACCAACGAAAGAGAAAATCCAGCTGAAAATGAAACAATGACCAGTGTTAATTAAGTGTCGCGTAAAAAGCAGGATATTTAAAGGTGAACACGAAAACCCACAAAGCCATGCATATCGGATAACGACACATGTATTAATTTGTTAAAAACATACACATGTACGGACATTTTTCAATTTCCTGTATTCAAAGGGTTTCGATTTGGACTAAATACACTGGAAACCAGACATCACATTTTTGTAATGCGTAATATCAAAACATGAGCCAATGCTATGAAATATGATATACAAAGCAAACAGACATGCTAGCCAGGCACACCTTTACTACTAAATCAATAACGGAACAATACATTCCGACTTCCGGCACCATCAAAATCATCACTATCTCTCAATTTGCCAAAGCCACCAAATCGTATGGATGCTGCGATTATCACCAGTGGTATTCAGGCGCTCAGTGTGACCATATAACCCCATCCTCGATACTCCAGGGATTACGATCACTTTCGCAGGTTGGAACATGTTGGGGAGCGAAAAGTGATTGTAATACCTGGTGTATCAAGGGTGATAAACTCCACGAAATCGAGAAAAATAAGGACCAAGAGAGTGAGCTTAAAGATAAGGGTAAGTAGCAATTCGAGTCGTCAAGGGCGAAGGTGTCGAGTTATTCGGACAACGGGTTTCTTTGAGGCGACAAAGTCGGTTGTGGCGAGTTGTAAAGGATGAGGTATTTTTTGAGTTGTCGAGGACGGAAGTGGCGATTTATCAGAGTTAGTGGGTTACTTTGAGTCGTCGAGGACAGATGTGGCGATTTATAGATAAAGTCGGGGTGGGACAGAGCTACGATAATCAGGTGGTTATGGGGTTGAGCAAAGCTAAATTAGAAGTGATGTGTTTCAATTAGATTTCAATTGAAGGCGTAAACTTCAGTAAAACAGGCAAACAGAAATTAAATAGAATGAACTGTTGTTATATAACTAATATATTACGTTATTAAAACAACAAAAGTGTATCTTAAATACCCCAGTGATCTCGAAATATTTTGACAATGTTTACGCTTACAATACAAATGATGAGATGTTGGTGATCGGTTAGATATGAGGTCTATTGGTCGAGCACCTGTAACCATTGTTGACCTTTACCATTCTATCTACGGGCAGATTAGTACATAACTTACTCCAGTTGGCACTATATTATTTCTTTGATAGTCTTTCGCTGGAACAGTAACAGTTTGGTGAAAAATTATTGTGATGACCAAATAACCAGATATGATAGCATGCTGAATGAAAAAAGTCAAGACAACAAATGAAAAAGCAGTACTAAAGAACTGGCTGGTACAAAATCTTGTATCCCTGTACAAACGTAGTTGTTTTTACCAAGATTAATCTTGTACCGCGGTATCCTCTCCAAAAAAACGACAAGAAAATACCAACATGTCAACATAATCATAATCGAACTCAAATTCAATAAAACTAGGGCAAAATATGAACAAAAGAAAGATTTGCACGGAGACTCCTGAGAAAGTACAAGGGGAATAAGACCAATGTTCCGGAAGAGTAAGCATCTTCTGTATATTGCTATCATGAAATCTAAGGTTCTGTCACCTGATGTGACGATACCTAAAATGGAACTCTTTTTCAGAAAAAATACATTGATATTTCCGACTAAATATAATATTAAATATTTAAATGTAATTGAACAAGAGGCCCAATGGGCCAGAATCGCGTACCTAATATTCAATGCTCATTTTAAATACACATACATTTCACACTACTGATTTAAACTACTTTCAAACAAACTTCATCTTATGTCTGACAAATATCATGCCTTTTGGTAATTTTGACAGCTAATTAAATATAGTTATTTAAAGGTTTTAACAAAACAGACTCTTGTGACCTTGAATGCGGCTCAATGTCATTTCATTTCCAAACAATTGTCAGCCATTATCTCGTGAATCTATAGGACAAATATCCTGCTTTTAAGCCATTTGGTCAATCATTAGAAATCACTTTAAAGGTTTTACCGAATTTGACTCGTATGACCTTGAATATGAGTCAAAGCTTTGAAAACTTTGTAAACTTTGTTGGGACTCAACCAAGCAACCCACCGGTCAAATACAATGACCTTTGGTCTGTTGGCTATTGGAAATAAGTCGTTTAAATGGTTGACGCCGACGGAAGGACGGACGGACGCCGCGCCAAAAAATTCACGTGTCCCTTCGTGCCAGATGAGCTAACAATATTCGTTTATCTACCATTGAATAAAAAACAATGCTACATTGGACAAGTCATGCCAGCTCCTGGGTCTGCCTTGGACATTTACTGGCAGTCTGAATAATAAATCTTTAACACAGGTTTATTGAAATATTTCCAGGCCATAATTGGTTAGGTTGTTCCGGATTCTACTTCTAAACAGTGTTTATATATCTACAGGGTTTTCTCGTTAAAGCGTGTCACAAAATTGAGTTATAGTGATCAGAAATAAAAACAAGAGATCCCAGAGGGATCTTGGCGCCCACCATTTGAGGATCTGTGTTCAGTTCTTGAAGATTTGTTTATTTTTGTTTGTTTGTTACAGGTGTTGTAAATGTTCATGAACTGGTCTTCATTGAATGTACTCAATGATGGCACAAAATATTTTTATTAAGCACCTATTAGCAAATATCATTTGAAAAAGATCCCAAAGTATTATTAGATAGCAGTCAGTTACAGGTGGATAATGGACAATATGCTTGTTCTGTATTACTGTCGACATCCAAGATGGCTGCCTGTGGGCCACCTTGATTTCAAATCAGTCCAAAAAAGGTACAATGCACAACTAGGGACCAAGGGAAACCAATATCTATGAAATATCAGAAGGATCCATCCAGTACTTGCTCAGATATAGCAGTAACAAGATTTTACTCTCAAAATCCAATATGGCTGCCTGTAAGCCATCTTGATTTCGGATCAGTCCAAAAAGGTATAATGCACAACTTGGAACCAAAGGGAACCTGCATATGAAATTTGAGAAAGATCCATCCAGTACTTTCCAAGAAATAGCAGTAACATACTTTTACATTCAAAATCCAAGATGGCCACCTGTCGGCCATCTTGAATTCGAATCAGTCCAACAAAGGTACAATGCACAACTATGGACCAAGGGGAAACTGCATATGAAATTTGAGAAAGATCCATCCAGTACTTTTCCAGAAATAGCGGTAACAAGAATTGTTTACGGACGGACGGACGGACGACGGAACACGGACGCAGGGCGATTTGAATAACCCACCATCTATTAGATGGTGGGCTAAAAAGTTAGAAAACATCAATAGAAAATAGAGATTTTCTCCTTTGTGTCCTACTCTCCGTACTGGTTAGTTTGTGTTCTAGATAGTTTAGTTTTATTAGTTTGCTAAGGTTCAAAAGTACACGTGAATAATGTAACAAATTGTTAAATTCAAACAAAGGAAAGTCACCGAACAGGTGATGGGGTATGGATACCAGTTTAAAGTTAAAATAATATAAAAATTAGCCAACCGAAAACAGTGACACAGCACTCTGATCCTCGGATACCTCGCGTGACAAGAGGAATAAATACATATAACTCTTTCTTGTTGAAGTAACATCATACCAAATCTAAGATATCGTTTATCTGATTATACATTCCAAAGGTTGTACTGGTAGTTGGCGGGATTTCCCGACCTTAAGGGTAACTATTACCTGCCCGACAGACGGTTGGGGCGTACACGCCTAGTTTTGGGTCGCTACTCATCACCATGGCGTGAAGATCCGTTTGCATTCTCTCGGCGTCGATACCTAAATGACAATAAGCAACCATTGATGATTATTCTGACATTAAAATGTCTAACATTGCTTCAAACGTAACTTCTTTCATCCGGTCTTACGGTTTATAGTGAGTAAGTGCACAGATATTAGGATAATCCGACTATAGAAAATGACCGATTCCGGTCACAAGATCCTTTATAATCATTTGTCTTCGATTGTGTTAATCATCTCCCGATATATCAAGTAATTACCTCCTTTTAACATGTATCCCTTTATTAGAACGTAATTAACTTTACCCGTAAACATGAGGTCGACATCCACACATCCTGGTCCTTCAGACATCTGCTTTGCCGCCATATTGTAGGGTCGGGCATGCAGAGCGGCTGCTATGGTCTTCACAAGTGATGTCCTAAAATATTTTTTTAAAATCTTGATCTTATTGTTACATACAGATCCATGTTTTCCACCAAATAAACATACTTGTACGCAAAACTGTTCCACAAACAAGCAATTACTCGACCTTGGCAATTAACGTTATCCGAGTTATATGTTCATGGCAAACAAAGGTTCGACAGTTGATATACTAGAGATATAAGGTCATGACATGCATTCATTATTTTCTTCCCGAGGTTTTCTCCCCGATATATATGTAACAGAGGTCATTTCACTGCCTCCGCTAGGACCCAAGACCTCTGACTTACTAGTCTGACGCTCAACCGATCTATCTAGCCGAGCGGTATTTTGCGGCTAGTTTCGTATATGTATATTTGATGTACTTATAAAATTTTAACATACTACAGTTATCGATCATTTCTAACATTTCGTATTGACAGAGCAATGTGTCCTTCCTACATACATTTCAGCTATCTGCCCTTGTTTGTATACTAATAACCACTTTAAAATACTGATTTTTATATAAACACTAAAAGTATTCCGAACTTCCCACATTTGTTTTTCATATTACTTACTTATCGACCATGACAGTTTCGGAGACAAAGCTCAACCGCTCACTGTAACTGTTTTCCGGCATAATGTCACCGCACACATACCTAGGAGCGCCACTATTAGCTTGGTGTACTACTATAGACCGGCCGACCACTGTTGATGATAAATAGGCAGGACACGATTAAGATGTAAATACGCCAGTCAATATTTACTAGTTTGTAACATTTCCCCCGAAAAAAAACTTTATTGAATTGAAATCTTCTTTGAAAATTTACACTTCTTTTGTCCGTAAAGTCCATGAAAATACCATCAGACGATATGTTATTCATGAAGTTGTGAATGTCATTGGTTAACAATAGTCATGTGAAGTTTTCTCCTACTGCTTCACATGATTATAATTCGGGACATAACAAACATTCAGATGACGTTGACAATAGCAGCACATAAACTTTCGGTAAATATTTGTGAATATTGGCATTTGTGCACCAATGTAAAGAACCAGTGTAACATAGTAGCGTATAGTGACCACACAAATGCATTCGATAACACTAGACTGGTTGTTCATTGTTTGTTAAAAGTCATAGTACATAACCATCCTAGATGTTTCTCCCGCTCTCTAACTCGGGGCCATCCATTGCCCCGCTCTCCTCTCTGCCCATTGTCCCGGTTTTAACTCCCCCTCGGACTCTCTCACCGTCCTTAATATCCCCTATACTTAGGTTTTACAACTTTCCTACCATCACGCCCATTGTGCATATAATTAAAAGGGCACGTGCGTCTAGGAGTACCTGTTATCAATTCCACACCCTTTTGATCTACCCTGTACATAGCTTATCTTGTTTACTTACCTATATCTTCGAGAGCGCGAGACATACAAATGAGAGCATCTATCTGTCCTGATCAATCATACTGGCGATATTCTGCCACGGTGCTTCAACAATGGGGTACACACCCCGCCCGTTATCAGGCGTTCATCACTACCTATCACTCACGTGATTTTTACCTCGGTCCAGCATTGACTGACTTTTGACCTGATGTACTTTAAACTAAGATGCTGCTCTCTACGATACACACCATTCCAAATTTACCGTTAAACCCAGTTTTTACTAATTTCGTTACACCAGAAAGAAAAAAAAAATTACTTCTATCACACGACATTATGAAGACACTCTTGTTTCCAAAGTGGTGAGGACGGTTCACCGTCAAAATGACTGTCCCATTACCAGTTTGAATTATAACATCCCCGGTAATTAAATACTTAATGCCGTTAAAATCCAGCTACTATCTGCACCATAAGACAGCAAAATGAAAAAAAAATGCATAGAACTGTCTTTAGTGTCTTGTACATAATAACATTTAGGATAACATAATGATCTTATGATAAATGCTGAGTCCAATGTCTTTAAAGAGTAAACATTCACATCGGTATATACCCAACAAACACGTAAATAGGAGTCAGGTGAAAGAAATGACGATACCGAGGTATCCGGCGATAAACCCTACAGTTAATTTGTCTCACCTCCAAAGTCGTCTATGATATTGAGGTTAACATCAGTGAAGAATCGTTTTCCGTCTCCAATGTTGTACAAGGCTGTCTTTGAGGACAAGTCGCCCGCTTCACAGCGCAGGGGGTTTGATGGAGAGCACTCTGTGTAATTCATCTGTATACACAAACATGGAAAAGATCGGACGTCAGAGATAAACAATAAGAACAAAGTATTCAGTGTAATGCTTATAATATACTTATTTCAATGGATCTGGAATCCACTGCCCCTTCTCCACTCCCCCCCCCCTCTTTTTTTTTTATAAATATGCTGCTTGATCCGCAAATGTTTGTTTTCATTTGTATGCGCAAAAAGGATTGCGCATCAAAGATAATTTGCTAGTTTAAAAACAGCAAACTTAATTGAAAGACGACAGCTTTTAACAAAAAACAAAAAAAACAAAAAAACAAAAAATTACCATACATGCATTATTTGGAAAAAAAAATCACTTAGCGACGGTTTTCCCCATTGCTGACGTACCAAATCAACCATGAACGGATTGTAGTGTGGCCCAGCACTGCTGCAGTCTCCTGTCATAGGTTTCTCGTGTACATGCCATGGATGGCCCATTGTCTACAATGGTAATAGAACTTCATCAAATACAAAACGTCAATCTGATAACATTATACATGTTACTCCGTCTTTGTCAATATTGTTGGTCGTTATTGCAAGAAATAGGTAGAAAATTTGTCCACATCAAGTAACTTTCTAGTTACCTTTTTTCATCTGTCAATATTGTTTATCGGTGTAATAGTTTACTACGTTAACCTTCGCTTAGCTGACGGAGGATTGTATTACGTGCTCGTGTCATGAAGATTTCATATTAGCGCCTAATGCAATCCCATGGGTTTAAGTGTTCAGTGTTGTTTAGATAAGGAAATCAGAAAAAAGCGGTAGTATTTCACTCAGGTGACAGAACATGCTTCTTTGACTCAGTAATGTCGCGGATTATCGCATCGAAGACCCGGGTTAGATTCTTTGCGAAGTACTCGTTAGGAATAAGCTATTCCCTGTTCTTTCACAGAAGTAACGAGAAAATTGGAAAGTGACAACAATTTGATGAAAAACTGATATTCTAAAATAGATATGATGTGAATGGTATTGATTTAGGGTAAATCTGGGATCTGAACTAAACCAGAAAGAAATATTCTAATTCCAGGTGTATATGTACTTAATAAACCCGGTAAATCTAAGGGTTCAGTCACATTGAAATAATTGAAAATTGCACCTAATGTCTTTATATTATCTAACGAAAGTTTTCATAAATAAATACTTTTTGAGCCCTATTCCACAGGGCCTTGTCACGAATTCCTACCCACGGTCCATATATATGTAGTATCTATTATTATATATATGGACCGTGGGTTAGGAAATCCTGACAAGGCCCTGTGCCGTGTTCTTATTACATTTCAATAGTGCACATATTAAATTTCCCATTTTATGTAATATCCACAGGGTTGAAATTGACGTGTTGCTCACTCTTACACGGACATCTTGACTGACATTCGATACAAAATAGGCAGAGATTTGTTAAACACATAATGAGGTCATCGACGAACTTAATTAACTTGGGAGGTGCCTCACTTTGACTCGCTCTCCCTTTGTCTGATAAGTGACGGCGAACAATTTCTAGGTTGTGATTATTACTACATTGTACTCTGCTTTCAGAGGCGTTGACGAGTACTTATATGACTTTACTTCTGTCTACATCCACTTGACTCGATAACAGAAGCTTCAGTTCAGTGTTCAGTGCTGAAAGATCAATTGTTTGGCTGGTGACAGCCACGCTGAACAACATGCCATACAAAGCATCTAGTCAAAGGACACTGCCGCTACATACTTTATAAGCCTTACGACCCATTAGTGAACAAAATCAAGAAACACACCACTTACAGCACGGAGTATATAAAACATAGAACGAACGAGAATGTACATTATATTATACAATTGATTTGGTTAATTAAATCTTAATTGATTTTGCTCCATGTATATATTTTCTCAGAGAACAGTTCTCTAAGATTTACTTCTCTAAATCACCAGCGCTACAATACAGGAGATATCTATATTGTGTGACAAAATCCAAACTCTACCGACACATAACGAGGCTCTAATCAAATTCTTATTGCAGAAAGGGGTGCTTTATTATTTAATTTGCCTTGCATAAATCATTCGAGCGTGAAGTCCAGCTACTGCTGTTCTGGAAGAGATTTTTTAGCATCATCTATCAAGAGAAAGAAGCCTTATTCAGGCTTTATGTCTCCTTGTTTGATAAATTGCTTTTTAAGTCGATATCAATAGATAAGCTAAAGATCAATGACATGTTTTGAATTTAAATAAGTTAAAGGCAAACACGGTAAAAAAACCCAGAAAGACTTAACGTTGTGATATTTCATCTTTTCAAAACGCCACATGCTATCAAAAGGCCATCAACGTGAGGACGGAGTCCTATACAGGACGTCCAAATCTACCGCGGCACTTAGAGAGAGATTAACGTGACGTGATTTCACAACACATGGTGGAAAGTACCAACACGTGTCATTATCTATACTTTGTCAATATATTTCGGATTACAAACATATTTTGGAAGACTTTCAGATGCATCGACCATTCAGGTAGAAAATAGTCAGATAAAGGGGGTTTAAATAACATTATACTAAGAGGAAATCTTTGAATCTATGACGATAAACATAATAACATGTCCTTTGTCAGTGATTCTTTGACGTTAGCACCCAATTACCTCCGGAATTTCTACATGGGGCAATGAGTACAAACATTCAGAATATTAACATTTAAAAATGTGTTGCTAACTGAATACAAAATGACATAAGGGTGAATACCTTGGGGAAAAGATAACCAGCTTACTACAGTTTGTATGAACTGTAGATGGCGTAACGTGCCCAGACCTACATAACGCTATTCAAGATCGTTTCTTTTATTTTCATTTTTTCTTATTTATGATGGACGTTTGGTTATCTCGGCACATGACCCGACTGAATAACTTTGGATGTTTTGTACCCTGTCAAATTAACTGTACTTCCTTCTTGTCATTGTAATCTGATGGTATAACGCTATCATCGTCTGTAAAGTCTTTTAACAACACTATCACTGACTGTCTTATCACTATCACTGACTGTCTTATCACTATCGCCGACTGTCTTATCACTATCACCGACTGTCTAACACTATCACTGACTGTCTTATCACTATCACTGACTGTCTAACACTATCACCGACTGTCTTATCACTATCACCGACTGTCTTATCACTATCACCGACTGTCTTATTACTATCAGCGACTGTCTAACACTATCACCGACTGTCTAATCACTATCAGCGACTGTCTAATCACTATCACTGACTGTCTTATCACTATCACTGACTGTCTTATCACTATCACCGACTGTCTGATCACTATCACCGACTGTCTTACCGACTGTCTTATCACTATCACCGACTGTCTTATCACTATCACTGACTGTCTGATCACTATCACTGACTGTCTTATCACTATCACCGACTGTCTGATCACTATCACCGACTGTCTTACCGACTGTCTTATCACTATCACCGACTGTCTTATCACTATCACCGACTGTCTTATCACTATCACTGACTGTCTTATCACTATCACCGACTGTCTGATCACTATCACTGACTCTCTTATCACTATCACCGACTGCCAATTCACTATCACTGACTCTCTTATCACTATCACTGACTGTCTTCTCACTATGACTGACTCTCTTATCACTATCACTGACTGTCTAACACTATCACTGACTGTCTTATCACTATCACTGACTGTCTTATCACTACACTGACTGTGTAATTACTATCACTGTTAAATCACTACCACCTGGCTATTAAACTACTATCATCTAGTCACCAAATCACTTTGCCCGTTAAGTTCAAGTTAATTGTTAATATTATGGGAAGAATCATGAGGCTGGTGCTGGATTTACATTCGCTGATTTTCAGTAAAATAGTTTGCATCCCTTTATCATATATCACTCTAACGGTTTGTTCTTCTATGTAACATGGTGATAATTCACTGTACATCACCAGAGAACAATTATGAAACCGACAACTTCATACACATCATATCTTATATCAACATCTACATGAAGTTATAATCATAAACTATTTCATTAGATTAAATGTTACTCACTATTAAAGTTTCGTTTGCAGCATATTTCAAATCTATGAGTATCCCTGTGTCACTGAGTCCACCATCCGGGTACCGGTACTGAGTCTGTAACATAGCAACAAAAAACAATAGAATAAGTACTGACACTGGTCTTCAGCAACGACAAACACTTACATAACTATTGATATCCGGGTACTGAGTCTGAAACATAGCAAATAAACTTAGCCGTTGTAATTGTGTACTGGAACCGAGGCGCTTTGATTACAAAGTAGGAGCTGGCTACCCCTGCCAGAACCGAATTGCCTTACCCAAACGATCTTTATACCACTAACTTACCATGACAATGTTTCCAACTACTTCTCCTTTAAACGTTGCTTTAGCGGTAAACATCTGACTGCCGGAAGTATCAGTGTCCTCCACAATATTTCCGCATTTCCATCGGGTTCCGTTATCGAAGTGCACAACGACAGAGCGTCCGACAACACTGTGGGTTCCCCTGATGGGTAGATTCGTATCGATCCCGTTCCAAACCACGCTACTCTTGCCATCTAACATGTGATTATACTTTCCGCTTAAGTCACCAATTTCGTACATGTCGTCCGTCTTGTTAGTTGGAGACCCTGTCACAGAGAGAGGATTATAATGGCCGCCAACTGCAGAAGCGGAACAGGAAGCTGAAGAAGGTACCGGATAACTGTGAACATGGTAACCACTAGCCATCCCATCAAGTCCCATTAGATTTATACCGACGGATGTCGGACCGTCCAAAACGCCCGGAGTACCAGAGGTGAAAACAGTTGTTCCCGGATATGAACTTTTAGACCAGTTCTCGATCTTAGTCGACCTGACTGGAGTATTGTAAAGGTTTGCGCATGCCAGTCGCGCTGGTCCTGAATTGACATCGTGAATGACTATAGATCGACCTAAAACACTATTTGGACCAGACAGAGGCAGATCCACATCCGTAAAGAACATCCGGGACTTTCCCCCTGATGATGTCCGAACGTTAAGCTTTCCGTGTTTTCCGGATAAGTCGCCGAGCTCACAGCGGAGCTGACTATTTGGATTACACTGCGTGTTATAATTTCCCGTCAAGTCGACAGAGTAAGGGTTATAATGACCCCCGACAGACGAACACCTTTGAGACACGTTCATTCCGAATGCCTCGTTAATACGGCTCACGTGGATGTGCCAGTTATGATTGACGGTAGCCATTGGGCTGGCCGAGTTACAGTAGTCAAGTTCCATATACACCTGGGTTTCCGACAGCGGACCGTTTACCTGGGGCTGACGCAAGACGATATAGCCAATTATCGGGTACTTGAACGTCGCAATTGCTTGTAAGACGTTGGCATCGGATTCGATTGTGGCGCAGACCCATCGCGACCCTCCAGACTGTTTGTGGATCACCACCGAGCGGCCTACCACACTGTTGATACCAAACAGTGGTAAGTTTGAGTCAGATCGGACAATGTTCAATTCCGTTCGTCCGTTCAGAAGTCCGTATTTGTTACTGAGGTCTCCTACCTCATACTGGTCATTAGTGCCCGCCCCCGGGGCCGGAAGTGTCCCTGTCACACTAAACGGGTTGAAATGGCCACCGACATAGTCTTGTCCACATACCTTCTCGTCGTTTCTCATCTTCAAAGGAACTGGGTATTTATGGATATGATATCCGCCAGCCATGCCAGCCAGCCCCGTCAGATCGACACTTACTTCCGTCCAGTCGAATGGGGACTTCTGGGAAAAAGATATTGCACCTTTGATGTCATCCCTACTTACAGTAACCTTTGCAACCCGTGCGGTATACTTAGTAATTTTTGCACATGCCAGAGGCACTGATCTTGGCGTTTCCACTACTAGTGTTTTACCCTCGGCGGAGTTCATGGTTCCAATACTCAATCCCGTATCTAGAAACATCTTAACACCGTCCCCTTTAGCAACTGCCACTGTCACTGCATTATGTTTCCCGCTCAGATCTCCCGCCATGCAGTTTTGATGAGCTGCCACATTACATCCGTTTCCTGTTGAACTCGTCGGATTGAAAACGTTTCCCAGATTCTCACACCTGCTCTCCACACTATCATTGTCCAGTATTTCTTTGTCGTAAATGGTCCATTTTAAAAAACTATCAGATGCACCTGTGGTGTTTTTTATATGGTAAAGGTCCACGTATATCGACACTGGATCAGTGTAAATGGCGGATGACTGGCGGAAAACTACCTCCCCACCAATGGTGTCCTTGAAACGCGCAGTCATAGTTACCATGTCTTCTGCCTCCAAGGTCGCACATGCCAGGTCTGTGTTATCTTGTGTGTTGGTCAACACAATAGACCGACCTGAAATGCATTCGATCTAATTACTGGGATATAAAACAAAAGCGGGACATAAGTACTGGGAAGAATGAATAACAAATGAACAAGAAAATGACACATGGGGCAAATTCTATTTATAGAATATGATAATAATATACTATATTATATATAAGATAATAATATATCATCAACATTAGCCATCGCAAAAATCTAAAGTTTTGTATCTACCAAATAGGAGGGCTGTTGGCTGTGTATCCTTTCAGAAACTCCCCTCACTTTGAAGTGAGTTCAATACTGTGCTAAAATGACCTTGGATGGTGTTGATATTGTGCTAAAATGACCTTGGATGGTGTTCAGATTGTTGGTATTGTGCTATACTAACCTTGGATGTTTGATATTGTGCTATACTGACCTTGGTTGATGTTGATATTGTGTTATACTGACCTTGGATGGTGTTGATATTGTGCTATACTGACCTTGGATGTGTTATACTGACCTTGGATGGGGTTGATATTGTGTTATACTGACCTTGGATGTGTTATACTGACCTTGGATGGGGTTGATATTGTGTTATACTGACCTTGGACGTATTATACTGACCTTGGATGGGGTTGATATTGTGTTATACTGACTTTGGATGTGTTATACTGACCTTGGATGGGGTTGATATTGTGCTATACTGACCTTGGATGGGGTTGATATTGTGCTATACTGACCTTCGATGTGCTATGCTGACCTTGGTTGATGTTGATATTGTGTTATACTGACCTTGGATGATATCGAGATTGTTTAAATCTGCAGGAAGTATTGTCATGACAGGTAGCATTCCTCCTAGTGTCGTATATCTTAATAAAATAACACAACAGTATTTAAGGCAGAGCAATTTTTTGAGAAAAGTTTTGAACAAACATTTTTTGGGTTAGAGAAAATATAAAGTATCATCTGTCTTTTAAAAACTAGGTAATTTGTTAATCCAGTCCATTTACTATTGATACAATACTTTTTATGTGGCTGTTGATCACTCTAGATCTTCTGGCCTTACACAATTTTTATAGCTATAACTGTTAGCTATATTTAAGATTAAGGAAAACAACGGCATTTATAGAGTACGGTTAAATGATTAAAAGTGTACATGATTTTTTTCGCATTTTCACCTCTGTCCAAGTTGACTACATCGATTGGCAATATCAAGTCGGACTGGAAGTGTCCGAATCTCCCACATACTCTTCGAGCCTTGACCGGATAAAACCCCCGTAACCACGGTCGCCACGCCAGCGGACGGTTGAGAGAACGTGAGAGTTCCACTGACTCCATTATTGTCAAACCTTGCCTTTAGAATTGTGGATGATGTCACTGGCACTGAAACAACAATATACAATTTTCAATCGTTTGCTATGAGATATACAGACATCATAAGCTTGAAGTGTCAATACTTTGGATTGTTATAAGATATACAGAAATGAGGAGACTGAAGTGTCAATACTTTGGATTGGTATGAGATATACAGAAATGAGGAGACTGAAGTGCCTATACTTTGGATTGGTATGAGATATACAGAAATGAGGAGACTGAAGTGCCTATACTTTGGATTGGTATGAGATATATAGAAATGAGGAGACTTAAGTGCCTATACTTTGGATTGGTATGAAGTATACAGACATCATAAGCTTGAAGTGTCAATACTTTGGATTGGTATGAGATATACAGAAATGAGGAGACTGAAGTGTCAATACTTTGGATTGGTATGAGATAAACAGAAATGAGGAGACGGAAGTGCCTATACTTTGGATAGGTATGAGATATACAGAAATAAGGAGACTGAAGTGCCTATACTTTGGATTGGTATGAGATATACAGAAATGAGGAGACTGAAGTGCCTATACTTTGGATTGGTATGAGATATATAGAAATGAGGAGACTGAAGTGTCAATACTTTGGATTGGTATGAGATATACAAAAATAAGGAGACTGAAGTGCCTATACTTTGGATTGGTATGAGATATACATAAATGAGGAGACCTAAGTGTCAATACTTTGGATTGGTATGAGATAAACAGAAATGAGGAGACTGAAGTGCCTATACTTTGGATAGGTATGAGATATACAGAAATGAGGAGACTGAAGTGTCAATACTTTGGATTGGTATGAGATAAACAGAAATGAGGAGACTGAAGTGTCAATACTTTGGATTGGTATGAGATATACAGAAATGAGGAGACCTAAGTGTCAATACTTTGGATTGGTATGAGATAAACAGAAATGAGGAGACGGAAGTGCCTATACTTTGGATAGGTATGAGATAAACAGAAATGAGGAGACCTAAGTGTCAATACTTTGGATTGGTATGAGATATACAGAAATGAGGAGACTGAAGTGCCTATACTTTGGATTGGTATGAGATATACAGAAATGAGGAGACCTAAGTGTCAATACTTTGGATTGGTATGAGATAAACAGAAATGAGGAGACGGAAGTGCCTATACTTTGGATAGGTATGAGATAAACAGAAATGAGGAGACCTAAGTGTCAATACTTTGGATTGGTATGAGATATACAGAAATGAGGAGACTGAAGTGCCTATACTTTGGATTGGTATGAGATAAACAGAAATGAGGAGACCTAAGTGTCAATACTTTGGATTGGTATGAGATATACAGAAATGAGGAGACTGAAGTGCCTATACTTTGGATTGGTATGAGATATATAGAAATGAGGAGACTGAAGTGCCTATACTTTGGATTGGTATGAGATATACAGAAATGAGGAGACTGAAGTGTCAATACTTTGGATTGGTATGAGATAAACAGAAATGAGGAGACTGAAGTGCCTATACTTTGGATTGGTATGAAGTATACAGACATCATAAGCTTGAAGTGTCAATACTTTGGATTGTTATGAGATATAAAGAAATGAGGAGACTGAAGTGTCAATACTTTGGATTGGTATGAGATATATAGAAATGAGGAGACTGAAGTGCCTATACTTTGGATTGGTATGAGATATATAGAAATGAGGAGACTGAAGTGTCAATACTTTGGATTGGTATGAGATATATAGAAATGAGGAGACTGAAGTGCCTATACTTGGGTAGTGTCCACTTAAGAATGCAGGGTTCTTACATCTTGTTACTTTGGAAAACCTTAGTAATATTCACTTTGTCCAGGTCAAGGCCGTTGCAATGATTAAAACAAAGTGTCAGCAAATTCAACATATTCTGATCACAAAGGTCATCATGTCTAATTTATAGAAGCTATCAAACAGTGAAACTAGATTACGTTGGAAGAGGAGCTTCGCTTTCCTGATGTTCAATGACATGAACAGGAAAAATTAACTCATTCGTGTACCGAAAGCCGGGCGATATTCATGATCTAATGTAAATACGAGTCTGCTACTCTGTAAAAGTCCAACAGGATGGTACCGTTTATATCAGTATGACCAGTTTAATGGCCGGCATACCCTCGTGTTCTTTGTGTATAAGCGGATAGAAAGCAAAACTTTGATTGATCTCTACACAATGACCAATATCTGTTTATTCATATTTGTCTTTCAATAATGTCGTTTACATTTAGACGGCTTCGCATAAAACGTTCAAAGGGACAATTTACATTATGATAAGTAAGGTAAAGTAAGTAAATAAAATCGAGGCCGAGAAACACAAATCGAGAAGGAATAAGTTATATGTTGACGACAGTACCTAAAGATCGAGTAATCCTCTAACATAAGTCTGGGCAGTCCGTCCAAATATCGCAGATGTCGTCAACATGTATACAGAGCATCGACTATCACCAGACAAAGACGGAGGATCAATATGTTTGATGTCCGTATATATATTTCTGGTTTGAAAAAAGAGTTTTTATGTAAGTCTTACTTTACCACCTACAGATAAGACTTAGGATATCGGTAGATATCAAGTTTATGTAGCTCCCCCCGAGTTCCTTTACAATACAACAATCTATAGCATATGCCGTTATACTTACTTAACGACCAGTGAGGTCCAATCCTATACACGTCTAAGAGTTAACATTACACGAACGTAGGGTTCGGTATATTTCAGTCTTACCCTACATTAACATATATTTTAAAATAAATTAGTCTAAAATTACACGAAAAACCAGTTTAGTATATTTTAGTATAGCATTACATTAAAAGAGTGTTTAGTACATTTACGTCTAGCCTTGTATAAACAGGATAAGTACATTTAAGTCTTACCTTACATCAACTGAGTACATTTTAGTATAATCTTAAATGAACAGAGAGCTTAGTATATTTAGTCTAACCTTTGAGTCTTACCTTACATGAACAAATAGTTTAGTACATTGTAATCTAACCTTACATAAACACATATTTTAGCAGTTTAGTCTCACCTTACATAAACACATATTTTAGCAGTTTAGTCTCACCTTACATAAACACATATTTCAGCAGTTTAGTCTCACCTTACATAAACACATATTTTAGCAGTTTAGTCTCACCTTACATAAACACATATTTTAGCAGTTTAGTTTCACCTTACATAAACATATATTTTAGCAATTTAGTCTAACTTTACAATAACAGCGTTTAGTAGATTTTATTTCAACCTTACATAAACATATATTTTAGCAATTTAGTCTAACTTTACAATAACACATATTTTAGCAGTTTAGTCTCACCTTACATAAACATATATTTTAGCAATTTAGTCTCACCTTACATAAACACATATTTTAGCAGTTTAGTCTCACCTTACATAAACATATAATTTAGCAATTTAGTCTCACCTTACATAAACACATATTTTAGCAGTTTAGTCTCACCTTACATAAACACATATTTTAGCAGTTTAGTCTCACCTTACATAAACACATATTTTAGCAGTTTAGTCTCACCTTACATAAACATTTACTTTAGCAATTTAGTCTCACCTTACATAAACACATATTTTAGCAGTTTAGTCTCACCTTACATAAACATTTACTTTAGCAATTTAGTCTCACCTTACATAAACACATATTTTAGCAGTTTAGTCTCACCTTACATAAACACATATTTTAGCAGTTTAGTCTCACCTTACATAAACACATACAGTTTAGTCTCACCTTACATAAACACATATTTTAGCAGTTTAGTCTCACCTTACATAAACACATATTTTAGCAGTTTAGTCTCACCTTACATAAACATTTACTTTAGCAATTTAGTCTCACCTTACATAAACACATATTTTAGCATTTTAGTCTCACCTTACATAAACATATATTTTAGCAATTTAGTCTCACCTTACATAACACATATTTTAGCAGTTTAGTCTCACCTTACATAAACACATTTTAGCAGTTTAGTCTCACCTTACATAAACACATATTTTAGCAGTTTAGTCTCACCTTACATAAACATATATTTTAGCAATTTAGTCTCACCTTACATAAACACATATTTTAGCAGTTTAGTCTCACCTTACATAAACATATATTTTAGCAATTTAGTCTAACTTTACAATAACAGCGTTTAGTAGATTTTAGTTCAACCTTACATAAACATATATTTTCGCAGTTTAGTCTCACCTTACATAAACACATATTTTAGCAGTTTAGTTTCACCTTACATAAACATATATTTTAGCAATTTAGTCTAACTTTACAATAACAGCGTTTAGTAGATTTTAGTTCAACCTTACATAAACATATATTTTAGTATATTTATTCTAACTTTACGTGAACCGTTTAGTTTATTTCAGAGTAATATTACATGAACAGATGTATTTAGTACATTTAAACATCACTTAACTCTGACAGGTTTTTTAATACATCTTAGTCATCACATGGTGTTTTGGTACATACAGTCTTACCAAACCGTTTAACCTTCAGTAACGTTCCAGATGACAAGATAAACGCTGAGTTTTTCCTTGCCAGTCAGACATAAAGACTGATATCTAGATGTAATATGTAAATCTTTATCCAATCATTGTACATGATAACATCTACCACACCTTAGGCTGTGATCACACAGGTGAGAGTGATACTGTTTACAATACATTTCATATTCGCTATCAACTTCATCTGATTGTTTGAGGCAGTATAGTAAATGTTTATGAATGTATTTATCGGTACGATTTACAAGAATAATTGAAAGTAAATACTCTTACTATGGTTAAGTAGGTATGATTTTATCATGAAAATAGTTTCAATCACGGTTCAAATGACACTGTGATTTTCTCACTAAATAGTTTTGTATATATACATATACAATGTCTGTTATATATCAGGTCGTTTACACGTGTCGACTTCCTCAGTACATATACAATGTCTGTTACATATCCGGCCATTTACACGTGCCGACCTCCTCAATACATATACAATGTCTGTTACATATCCGGCCAT